AAGATTACTGGTCTCTTACTATTGTTTAGTTTGCATTTACTATTGAGGTTGAACAATTTTTCATGTGTTAATTGGCCATTTGCACTTCATTTGTGAATTTCAAAAACCCTTCTTAACAGACTTTCTTCCAACATAGTACTCCATCAGTAATAGTCTCTACCACCAGAAGATTCTGATTTACCAGGTCTGGACTGGTCCAGATGATGCTGATGTGTTTCAGAACCACTAACCTAGTTCAACTTCCTGCTGAAGGCAGGAATGAATGGCCCTTACATGTATCCTTGACAAACAGTTTTTTAAACTTCTTTAAAACTCCAGCCCTTTCATGGGTTCTATTAGAAAGATCCTTTATCTGAAATACACTCCTCTTAAGTTCTACCTCCTAGGTATAGCTCTGCCCTTTCGAGTACAAGAAAAAGTCTACTTCTACTTTTGCATGGCAACCCTTTAAATATGTGAATACAGTTACCACGAATCATCTTAACTCATTCTTTTTTTTTTTATTTTTTATTTTTTGAGACTGAGTCTTACTCTGTCAGCCAGGCTGGAGTGCAGAGGCACAATCTCAGCTCACTGCAACCTCCGCCTCCTGGGTTCAAGAGATTCCCCTGCCTCAGCCTCCCAAGTAGCTGGGATTACAGGTACCCAACATCACGCCTGGCTAATTTTGTATTTTTAGTAGAAACAGGGTTTTACTATGTTGGCCAGGCTGGTCTCGAACTCCCAACCTCAGGTGATCTGCTCTCCTCAGCCTCCCAAAGTGCTGAGATTACAGGAGTGAGCCACTGCGCCCGGCCTTTTAACTCTCATTACTTTCCTTTGTTCCATGGCTTTGGTGTCAAGATTTTTCACTTAGTGATTACCCTTTTTTTTGGTGGTTTTCTAATTTTTCAATGTCCCAAGTTGAGATTTAAAAGGCAGTATAGCTAGTGGCTGACAGCACAGATTTTGCAGTTAGAGACATGCACAAAACCCAGTTCTCCCATTACCAGCTACTTGATTACAATCAAGTCACTTAACTATAGTTTTCTCTTTGGTAAAATGGGGGTAATAATAATGATGTCAATTAATGTGAGATATTTAAAATAGTGCTTGGCATACAGTGAGCCCTTAATAAATTTTAGCTGCTATTATTAATATTATGGCTTCTAAATAGGAGTCCATTTTAGTTCTGATAGTGAGTGATCTCTAGGGGAAGAGAAATTACAACTCTCTCAGGGAAGCAGGAACACAGGAAAACATAAAGTCATTGCCAAATATGTTAAAAATTTCGCCTGCACAACAAATAGAATATAACCAAAGAATCTATTAATAGAAGACTAGTTAGATAAATAAAATAAAGTATATCCATATGATAAAATACTATGCAGCTACTTTTTACAATGCAGTAGATCTAACCTTCAGGCTGTACTGTTAAATGAAAAAAGAAAAATGTATAATGGTTTCTGTTATATTTTATACATATATATCATATAGGCTTGTGCTTGTGTAAAATAGAAGTATAAATAAACTTACAAGAGTAGTTGCTTCTGGAAAGATGAATTGGTGAGTGGAGGTAAGGAATGGGAGACAGGCATTTTGATTTTTGTTTTTCACCATGCATATGGATTACTTTTTCAAAAAAGGTAAAAAGATTTGCCCACAGCCCAACTAGAAGTAGAATCTGCAATTCTCTTAGGTATCAATATTACTTGTAGTGGGTACAAGAACTATACAGGCCCCAGGGTAAATGTTAGATATTGAACATTCTTGTTCTGAAAAGGAAAAATGTCTCATGGTAATTATAACAAGAGACATTGCTGGCTGGGCATGGTGACTCACACTTGTAATCCCGGCACTTTGGGAGGCCAAGGCAGGCGATCACGAGGTCAGGAGATTAAGACCATCCTGGCCATCATGGTGAAACCCCATCTCTACTAAAAATACAAAAAATTAGCCAGGTGTAGCGGTGCACACCTGTAACCCCAGCTACTCGGGAGGCTGAGGCAGGAGAACTACTGGAACCTGGGAGGCGGAGGCTGCAGTGAGCTGAGATCATGCCACTGCACTCCAGCTTGGGCTACAGAGCGAGACTCCGTCACAAAAAAAAAAGACAGAGAGAGAGATTGCTAAATAGTTTATGAGTAACACATAACAGGGACCAAAATTTCTTAAGAGCAGGGGCTTAGGAGTGGCAATTGGCTGGAAAGGGTGGGAGTGATTAGGGAGTTGAGTCTCGAAGTAGGCTTTTCATAGGAAACATTCTTTTCTTTTCTTTTTTTTTTTTTTGGTGTATTACTTTGGGGTCCCTTTAGAGAACTGATGGAAAATATGGGGGCTTAAGGCTCCCTCCAATCCCTCACCTTGGTGTCATCATTAATAGGAAACACGCTCTACTTGGATGTATTTGATAAATGAACTCTTACCCAGGCTGCCTGGAAACTGCACAAAACAGACAAAGGACCTTTTATATCCTCATCCAATAATCTGGAATTGAAGCTTTGGTTAACCAAGCCCATGAAGTAAACAAACTTCTCATGGAGAAAACTCTATCGTCATTTAATGCCTGTATGAAGCCTCTGAACAAAGAGGAAAGAGCTTCAGAAGTCACTGAAGGAGTAGTAAGGCTTGGCATTTCAATCTTTCCTATAGTTTAAAACCTCAAACGCTCAGAGTGTCTAACTTATTTACAGGTAACAATACCTGCGTGTGTATACATACAGCTCTAAGAATTTAAAAAGTAAGTTAAAAGTGTCCAAATTTGTGATGTAAAATATTTAATTCCGCCTCTAGGTGGTGAGAATCCCACTGGCAAAATCCAGTTTTCTTTCACTTTCATGTGAAGAGGCAGTGGAGAAACATACAACTTTCTGCTTCAGAGAGGGGAAGTTCATTTTGTACTTTTCCAGTGAATCATTTAAAATCATGGCTAAAGACATTTTCCTCCACATGGCATAAGATCCTTTTCCCCACCCCTAGGCGTAAGCAAGTAGTTAGCCAGAACTCAGCGATAATGCATTTTTAAAGGCTTGACCAAGTTTGATTGGACTGCAGGACTTTTAAGATATATTTTTATTTGGATATATCATACCAGCTAATTTGTGTGAAGTCAATGTCAACATTCACAAAAAGTGAAAATGGCATATAACTGAGTCAACTACACTAAGTGGAGGTATGTTATAATGTGTCAAAAACAAAGCAAACTGCAGTAAGCAATGAATTACATCTTAAAGCTAAGAAGTTTAAATCTACTTTAGGATACAATCACATAAAGAAAACTAGCAAGATTTACATGTATGAAAATCACTGTAATTAAAGGAATATGAGTAGATGTCACTGGCAGGCATTTTCTGTTTAAAAAGGACAAATGGGAATACTGTAGAAAAAGAATAAAAGCTCCAAGTCAGCCTTCCAAAATGACTATGATGATAAATGACATCATAATTTTATTTATATTGGAATGTAAAAAGAAAAGGATAAATTATTTATTATGAAACAATATTATGTTTCCTAGAGTGAGTTATGATACCGTGGAAGTAAATTAGAGTCTTCTAAATCCATACAGTTTGCACTCTACTTTTCCAAGCCAACAGGATTTAATATCAGTAAGATTTCAATATATATGTTAAAAGTACAGTAAACAGGCCAGGCATGGTGACTCACGCCTGTAATCCAGCACTTTGGGAGGCTGACTGGGGCGGATCATGAGGTCAGGAAATGAGGACCATCCTGGCCAACATAGTGAAACCCCATCTCTACTAAAAATACAAAAATTAGCCAGGCATGGCGGCGTGCACCTGTAGTCCCAGCTACTTAGGAGGCTGAGGCAGGAGAATTGCTTGAACCTGGGAGGCAGAGGTTGCAGTGAGCCGAGATCATACCACTGCACTCCAGCCTGGGGGACAGAGCGAGACTCTGTCTCAAAAAAAAAAAAAAAAAAAAAAATTAGTGCAGTAAATAGAAACTGCAGCTGTGACCGTTACTCATAGAAAACAGTGTAATGTATGTAAAATTTACAGCCACACCCACAGCTATTTATAGTAACACCATCACATTAACATTTTTTTCAGTAAGAAGAAAACTTATTACATATTTTATATGATACATATTTAAAGATGTATTAAAGCATATATTTTATAGAATAATTTTTAAACATTCTTAGTTGATATAATCATGAAGCAGTTATGTTATTCTTTAAGTATGATTTGAGAAAATAGTGTATTTCTTAACTAAACTATATATATATATATATATATATATTTTTTTTTTTTTTTTTTTTGAGACAGAGTTTCACTCTTGTCACCCAGGCTGGAGTGCAGTGGCACGATCTCAGCTCACTGCAACCTCCGCCTCCTGCCTCCCCAGTTCAAGTGCTTCTCCTGTCTCAGCCTCCCAAGTAACTAAGACTACAGGTGTGTGCCACCACGCCCAGCAAATTTTTGTATTTTTAGTAGAGATGAGGTTTCACCATGTTACCCAGGCTGGTCTCAAACTCCTGGCCTCAAGCGATCCACCCACCTCAGCCTCCCAAAGTGCTGGGATTACAGGCGTGAGCCACGCTCCCAGTCCTAAATGGTATTTTTAAAAACCTAATGATTTGAGGCTGGGCACAAGAATCGCTTGAACCTGGGAGGCAGAGGTTGCAGTGAGCCGAGATCATCCCACTGCACTCCAGCCTGGGTGACAGAGTGAGACTCTGTCTCAACCAAAAAAAAAAAAAGTTAGCCGGGCATGGTGGTGGGCACTTGTCCCAGCTACTCGGGAGGCTGAGGCAGGAGAATCGCTTGAACCTGGGAGGCAGAGGTTGCAGTGAGCCGAGATCATCCCACTGCACTCCAGCCTGGGTGACAGAGTGAGACTCTGTCTCCACCCCCCTCCAAAAAAAACCTTGTGATTTGAAGCAAAAATAAATTTTCCTCAATGCTTATATAATGTTCCTTGCTAAAAAAGCTTCATCTTCTATAAAAAATCATAGTAGAACTTTACCAGTGTGATACTGATGACTGCATGGATATCCTTACCTTGTGCTGGTATCTTGTGTCAAATGCATGTTTTATCAAAAGATTCTTTATGACAGAGATAGCTGTATATCTGATCTCATAATTGTCCTGAAGAGCAATGGAAGTTTCCCTCAGAAGTAGACCAACCAAGAAGTGATGCTTGCAATACTCATCTGATAAACTGTATTCAAGATTTGAATCTGCAGTACAATGAAATTTAAAACCCATTTATGAAAATATTCAAAAAATGATTATAATTAAAATACTGTATTATTTAATAATATGTGATCATGCTAGCAAGAGCTATAATTTTTATTATTAATGATTCTGAGCAGTTCTTTTATCATCTAGAATAAGCATGCAAAATTTACAAGACAGAAGCACTCATATTTTGGGCTAGACGATAACTTTAATGATCATTTCAGTCAGGAAGAAAGTCCCTAGATTTTTTTTTTCCCCTGCATTCTTTTGAACTCATAGAAATCTTATGATACAACCTACAATAAGATAATTATATATTTTGCAACGTTTTAACAGATTTCTTTATAGCTGAAGAGATTTTGTCACAACTATACATTTGAAAAATTCTATACAATAATGCTTGACTTACTTATCCATTTATACTTATAAAGTGGGAAAAGACAAACTAAACAACTGAATAGTCTGACAGTATTGACTGTTTCAGTAAATATTATATATTGGGCTGAAAATATACATGGGACATAAGAACAGTAAGGAAAACAGTCTCATTCCATTCCAATCCATCATCACTCAGAAACAAATAATTTATGTCAGAAAATAATCACTTCAAACTATGTCTTTCCCTTCTTTTAAGATCCTCAGTCTATTTTATTTATTTATTTATTTGAGATGGAGTCTCACTCTGTTGCCCAGGCTGGAGCTCAGTGGCACAATCTCAGCTCACTGCAACCTCTGCCTCCCGGGTTCAAGCAATTCTCCTGCCTCAGCCTCTGAAGTAGCTGTGACTATAGATGAGCACCACCACGCCCAACTAATTTTTTTTTGTATTTTTAGTAGGGACGGGGTTTCACCATGTTGGCCAGAATGGTCTCGAACTCCTGAGCTCAGGTGATCTCTCTGCCTTGGCCTCCTGAAGTGCTGGGATTATAGGAATGAGCCACTGTGCCTGGCCTAGATCCTCAGCCTATTTTAAATCTCAGATGTTAATATCATGGTTGGGACTTGCTTTATAAGTACTTATAGGGGATTGTGATCAGGTTTAGTAATTTGTTTGTTTGTTTGTGACAGTCTATCTCTGTCACCCAGGCTGGAGTGCAGTGGCGCGATCTTGGCTCACTGCAACCTCTGCCTCCCAGGTTTAAGCAATTCTCCTGCCTCAGCCTCCTGAGTAGTTGGGACTACAGGCATGTGCCACCATGCCCGGCTAATTTTTTGTATTTTTAGTAGAGACGAGGTTTCACCATATTGGCCAGGCTGGTCTCTAACTCCTGACCTTGTGATCCACCCGCCTTGGCCTCCCAAAGTGCTGGGATTACAGACATTTGCCACCGCGCCCAGCCAAGTTTAGTAATTTCTATGGAAGATTTCTACTATCTTTATTTCCTCTCCAGTACTATTTAATTAGATAGGCCATGAAGCCGAAGAATATGTTTTCTATTTCTCTTTTGGCCTGTTCAGCACTTAATATAATGCTTTATATTCAGCTGGGACTTAATAAATGCTGCGAGTAGTCCAATTTAATCCTAAATCCTGATGATCTGTCCACGCCTTCTTTTTCCTGACTTCCTCATAGTTATAAATAAATATTGGGTGAAGTATATGAGCTACACATGCTCAGAATCAAGTAAGGGGGTAGTTGAATAGAAGTACTATGGTTTAAAAATATTTTTTCTCCATTTTCACTGGCTATAATTCCATCACTAAAACCACCACTCAGCAAATACTTCTACACAGACCAAGGCAGATTATTTTCTTCCTGCATTGGTCATGCTTTTTTGTGAATCCCTATCACCTTCTACGCATAAGGGCCAGGACTAACAAAGGTGGCTTTATGTGAGTAGATTTTACAAATGGTAATCAATTTGTTACTTTGGTGATTTGAATAAATCCAATCAGGTGGTTTTATCTACACCTGCAGAATTGTGGCCAAGATATCATTAAACAGCATCTAAGAGACAGAGGAAAGCCTGAGAGAGGTCACACACACACACACATCTCTCTCACACACACACACACACACACACACACACACACACACACGTAACTTCCAGTTCCCCATTCATGGCCTCTATGCTGGCTTGCAGCAGGAACTTGTGTTTTGAAGGAAGATGTTTTAAAGTTGATTTCTCTAGCAACACTCAATTTTATTTTAAAACTAAACAAACACACTGCCTCCTAGATTTTCTGGGTACTTGGCTAGGGAGGATTTGAAAAGCAAACAAAGCCCCCATCCATCTTAGCAATTCATCAAATCAATTGTTTTCTAAAACAGCAAGCTAATTTAGAGTGAACCGAGTTAAACCTACCTACTGAAGTCAAACGGTCCACCGCAAATGAAAAAAAATCTAATTAATATATGAAAAGAAAAGGGACAAATAAAAAACATAGTAACATAAGAATAGTGCTATACAACAAAGCATTCAATAAAACTAGCAATGGAGATAACTGAAGGCATTTCATAAATTTAGCACAAACATGTTACTGTTTTACTCTACCTTTACATTTTTTGATGCTTTGAGGAGAAATGCATTTACATGTCTTTTTCTTAATTTAGTCTTATACAAGATCCCAAACACTACTACAGAAAGTAATTTCACTAGCATCTGACATCTGTGTTTAAGCAGCAATCTATTAACACACCTGATTTCTTCACACTATGAATATTATTACTGGTATTATGAAGGAAATGCAGAAAAACATTAAAGGACTTCAGATAGTAACAATTCTGAATTTACCTTCAAGTTGACTGGTTCAACTAGAAAACATTATACTACACTAGCGCTAGCAAAACATGGAAAAAAACAAACTCAAATGATGGAAAATGCAAATACATGCCTTGAACCCGCTGCAGTTTAGGTTTTGCAAATGCCATTGGCAAGTTCAGAGGAATGTAATGTTCGTGATTGCAAATTGTTTGCAGAAATTCAAACTTGTATTCAGCCAGAACCTAAATGGAAAGAAATGATACATTAGCTCATATTTAGTAGGCATTTGCTATTTTAAGAATTTAATACAGCGCATTATTTTTCACAACAGAAGTGCTTAGTATTCTAAGCATACTTTGAGATGCGACCTGTGCAGGAAAGAGTTAACATAGCAGGTCCAAGACTGCTATCCTTTAAAAGGCCTGCTTGTTGGCTGGCATCTAAAAAATGAAATTTTGAAACGTTCCCTACATGATAAGTTGCGCCTTCTGTGTCAGCCTGCTTAGACTGTTTGTACAAACAATGTGATTTATAGTGAACACCTGCTTTGCTTTCCTTTCTGAGAGTCTGGAATTTTGACCAGCCTCCAACACATAATCAGCCCTCAATAAAACCCCTCAACTCTGAGTTTTAAACAGGCCTTCCTTGAACAGGAATATTGCACACTTACAAGTGCATTTTCACTGCTAGAAGGAGGCTGTGCTCTGTGAGACCCTTCACAGGAGGGAAAGAGTTCAGAAAGGCTGCGTGTGGATTGCTACCCACCCCATTTGATGTCTTTTCCTTTCCCGATTCAGCTGAGTATCCTCATCATATCACGCTCATGAATCTTAGCCATCAATACAGCTATATGTTGAGTCTGTGAATCCTTAGAATGAGCTATTGAACATATGGGGGGTCCTGGGGACCCCAAAACACAGTCCAGTATTCCTTGCTTTTAAGTATGTCTATACTCCAAGTACCTAAATAAAAACAGCAGTTCCTAATCCCCTAGAAGAGAATAAATGTCACTTTTGGTCTTATGCTCAGATGTCTGACATCCACTACGATCATGTCCTCATAACTTACCTTAGGATCTTTGGGACTGAATCCAGATATATAGTCATTTATTAAATTGAAAATAAATCCTCTATCCATTAGTGTCAAACAGCGCTGTAGGAACCAAAACAAAACTAAGGGTTAGTTACACAATTCTAAAAGTCTAAATTTAAAAAATGTAAAGTTTTAAAAATTCAAAATTGGTTCCACACAAAAAGAAAGACATTTTTGTTTTTATAGATAACTGTCTGAGCTTCAGGTGACCTTAAAGAAAAAGATAAAGGGCAAGTGGCATCACTGGAATCGGGACTGAAGGGCCTCAATTATACAGTTTTCAGAATAAGATGGATATATAGCCACACACACAAATACACATTTATCTATACATATACACACATACATACACAGACACACATACATATCTGTAATCTATTCAGCTACACTTCCTCATTTTGGTCAACTCCCAAAGCCCAAGTGAGTTGACCTCATTTTGGTCAACTCCCACTTCCGAAGGGAAGTGTAAGGTAGTCTTTTAGCTGATGAAAGTGAGACTTGCCTATGTAAATATTAATAATTCAGACCAAAAGGGTTTTTGTGTTCAGTGAAGTCAAGGCGTAAAACCTCTCTTCTCTGTGACAGCCCTAAGTTATTCATATTTGCCTGCTGTCATTCTCCTAGTTAAGGCTCTCACTACCTTGCAACTGAAAAACTGTAGTTAACCTCCTCCGTCTTCATGTCTCTCATGTCTCCATCCATCTGCTTCCAGATTAACCTCTAAGTCCCAGCCCTAATCGTGTCATTTTCCTGCCCCAAAGCTTCCAATAGTTCCCTATCGTCTCTAATATAATTTCAAACTCCTTAGCTTGGCATTCAAGAACACTCACAATCTTGTCCCAACTTACTTGTCCAGCTTCATTTGCCAACAGATCTCATTGACTTCCTTTGACTCTGTCTCAAAACATAAAAAAAAAAAAAAAAAAAAACCAGAGAGAAAGAGAGACAGGCAGAGTCTTGCTCTGTCACTCAGGCTGGAGTGTAGTAGCACAGTCATAGCGCACTACAGCCTCAAACAATCCTCCTGCCTCAGTCTCCCAAGTAGCTGGGACTAAGGCGGGCACCAGCATGCTCAGCCGTCATTCACTTATTATCCCCTCGAGATGCACTGTGTATTCCCACCTCTAGGTCTTTGACTCATGCCACACCTAGCAAGTCTATCGCTACTTCTATCTGATCTTGTTCATTCTTTAAGGTTCTCATGAAATCCCATCTTCCTTAACTACATTGGTCCATGGATCCCTTCAAACACTTTATTCAGTATTAGCTTGTATTTTACTATTTTCCTGTCATCTCACCTAGATTGGACAATAAGAATGATCTTTTCCTTTATATCCTTCATAGTGCCTACAATATTTCTGTGAAATCCAAATAATTCAATATTTGATTAACCAGCTACCTGCGTCTTGCATCTCATACTCTCCTTTCCACTTCTGCTGCCACTGCCCAGGGTCAGACCCTCATCACCTGTCATCTGGATTACTGAGTTAGGCTCATATTTATTTATTCCAGCATCCAACAAACATTTAGAGGATCTACTATGTTTGAGACAATGTATTACATTCTAGAGAAATACAAAGTGGAATAAGGCATGGTCCATAATCATGTCTAATAGTGAAGACAATCACATAATGAAAACATAGTGTACAATAAGAAGTGCCATAGAACTATGTAAAAGACAGAGGAACAACAGAAGGGGTGATCAACACTGCATGGAAAGGCCAGGGAAGAGCTGAGCCTAAAAGATAAGTGGATTGTGCCAGGCGGACAATTGGTTTTCTAATCAGTTGCCCTGACTCGGCTCGGGTCTCTTCCTCACTTCATCTATCATAACAGCAAGAAAAGTATCCTCCGAAGTATTTGGTGTTGCTCCATTGCATATGAATCAAAGTCCAAATTCCTTAACCTGACATTTAAGGCCTTCTGTTATTGGCACCAGATGGCCTTTCCAGCTCTTTCTTCATACTTCCTAAACTCATCACACAATGAGTTTTCACTCGTCCCTAAATAATTTTTGAACATGTAAATTTCATCTTTGCTCAGGGACCCTCTAACTGCAACATGCTCAACTCTTGTCCTGGGGAACTCCGCACTATGCTACTTGTTTCATGCTGCCTGGTCATAATCTCTCTCTCCCTTTCTAGTTTTTCTATAGTATTTTGTCTGTACTTCTGGTGTTACTGTTATCACCTTTATCTTGCATATATATTCAAATTTGACCACTAACACGGCCTCTCACATCTTTGAATTGCCACACAGAAGACAAGCCAATGGGCCAGGCTCACGCCTGTAATTCCAGCACTTTGGGAGGCTGAGGTGGGCGGATCACGAGGTCAGGAGGTCGAGACCATCCTGGCTAACACGGTGAAACCCTATCTCTACTAAAAAATACAAAAAATTAGCTGGGCATGGTGGCGGGCACCAGTAGTCCCAGCTACTCGGGAGGCTGAGGCAGGAGAATGGTGTGATCCCGGGAGGCGGAGCTTGAAGTGAGCTGAGATCACGCCACTGCACTCCAGCCTGGGCGACAGAGCAAGACTCAGTCTCAAAAAAAAAAAAAAGACAAGCCAATGTTTGCTGACTTGAATTAAGTAAATGCTGCTACTAAACCAAAACTGTTCTGTTCCCTTTACATAGTAAACTTCAAGTTTAAACTCCATGGAAGAAGCTTATGTTCTACATTTCAGAAAGTATGTGCTCCCATTTAAATAAGCATTTAAACAATGTTTAAAAACACCGTGTGCAACAAGCAACACTTGTCTTCTGACTAGGCCACCTGTATGTGTCCTCTGATTTAATCAATTCGTCATTTCAATGGGGGATGGGGACAAATTTGCTGTGATCAGTTAAGCTAAAAGATACGGCTTTTATCCAAAAGAGGCAATAACAAGTGTTGGTGAGGATGTGGAGAAAAGGGAACCTTCCTACCCTATTGGTGGGAATGTAAATTAGTACAACCACTATCAAGAACAGATTTGTTTGTATTTCTGGTATGACTGTTATCACCTTTATCTTGTATATATAGTTAAATTTGACTACTAAGATAGCTTCTCACATCTTTTCTTGTTTTGTTTTGAGACGGAGTCTCACTCTATTGCCCAGGCTGGAGTGCAGTGGTGTGATCTCGGCTCACTGCACCCTCTACCTCCCAGGTTCAAGGGATTCTCCTGCCTCAGCCTCCCAAGTAGCTAGTGGCGCCTGCCACTACACCCAGATAATTTTTGTATTTTTGGTAGAGACGGGGTTTCACCATGTTGGCCAGGCTGGTCTCGAACCCCTGACCTCATGTGATCCGCCCACCTCAGCCTCCCAAAGTGCTGGGATTACAGGTGTGAACTACTGTGCCCGGCCGGCCTCTCACATTTTTGAATCGCCACATAGAACACAAGCCAATGCCAATGTCTTCTATGGAGGTTTCTCAAATAACTGAAAATACAGCTACCATACGATCCAACATTCTACTCTTAGGTATATACCCAAAAGGAAGAAAATCAGTAGATCAAAGAGATATCTGCACTCCCATGTTTGTTGCAGCACTGTTCACAATAGCCAACGTTTGTAAGCAACCTAAGTTTCCCAGTAGTCTTATGAAGACCTAGCTGAGTCTCTAGAAGGTGCTTAATTTTTTTCTTGGGCTTCCTGTCAATGAAGAGGAGTTCCTTACCACATTCCAGCTGCCTTTAACTCACCTTCAGGAAGCTAGCCAAACTATAGTTCACATTTCTGGACTCTTCGGGAATCTCCGCATACCGAATAGTCACATGGGGAATTATTGCAAGAAGCAGTGAATGTAAGACATGATGATATGTCTCGGGAAATCTCTGGCCTCGGGGAAGCTGAAATGAAATAGGCACAGAAAAAAGTCAGACTTCCGAAAGGTCTAAGTTGCCATTTTTACTTTCAAACACATTCTACAAATAAATATATCTTAAAACTGATGTACAATTGTTCTCCCAACCTAAAAATGACATCACTAGTTCAAGATGTACTTGACTCTCTATAATTACAGGAACTCTCTGGATCTCTAATAATCTACCTGACTGAGGTTATCAGCAAGAATGGGTTGTTCTGCCCCAACTTTGGAATATCATGCTTCTGAGTTACAGACAAATCCCAGTTTTCATTCCACTTTTTTCCTGACACACAAAGTATGCATGCACTTCAATTTCAGTAAACGTATTATATAAATTCTGATAAAAAATAATTAGGTATAAGGTAAATATTTTGTACTTCACAAGTCTTAGCTTTATGATTCCTATGAATAAGAAAAATTGTTTTACCTTTCAAACAATTAAAAATTACAACAAATTGCATACATCACATTCCGGGATCATATCTAGTGCATAAAGTGTTTGTAACACTGCACGTGCATGGGCAAATGCTATGTCTGATTTAACCCAATGAGTCTTCTCAAGAGACATTTTTAAGCCATAAGACAAAGGCAAAAATTCAAAGGTAATGAGTTGTACATGGCAAATGATTATAGGAAAGAATCTATGTGGAAAAGTCTCTGCAGATTAGATGGGTGAGAACATATCAACTGCAAGACCTTAGATATACGCAATACAGCCATTGTTTTTGTAAGCAACATTGAAAAAGCTAAGCACTCAGAGCCTTTAAATATAAAACAGGATTTGCATGGCATGGCTATCTGAGAGTAAGATTAGCTTTTTTTTTGTCTACATCAAATATTATTCTTATATATACAATTATCATTTGCCAACTGAAAGTTATTCTTTACCTTAATTTACTTACCTTAATCTTATTCTCTTCCAACAAGTATGTGGCCATCGACTTTGCAATTATTTCAAAGAAAAACCATGAGTACTAAAAAAAAAAAAAAAAAAAAAAAAGAAAAGAAAATCTTTAACTGTTACCAAATCTTTGAAGCTTAGCAAAGTTTGACAAATCAATATGGGTCTTGTCTTTGAATTTTACTAACATTTTCAAGTGATCCCAAGTCACTATCAAAGTCTCACAGAATATCTGCAAATGGTTTTAGCAAAAAGGTACTATTGTACTTCAGGGTTGACCAGTAATATACAAAGGAAGGATGGGAACCTTTGTCCCACTGGGGAGTATTTTATCCCCACCATTGTTTCTAATTGCCCACACATGGTATTAAGAGCAAACTAACTTCTAGTTTATCTTGTTACCGCTTTTAAATGCTCAATGAATCTTATTACCACCTGCACCTAGCTTGGGCCCCAACCCTGCCCTTGATGTGACATTTGTGCAGCCTAAGTAGCCTAGATGTTTGCCTACGTCATATAATTTGAAGAGTAGAGAGAAGCCTCAATCAGATATACTCCAAGATACTCGAAATTCTACCATTAATAAAAGAAGTAATAAAAATAATGACAATAATAACAGCTATAATTTCTTGAGTGCCTACGATGTGCCAGGAACCATGTGTTGAATGCTTTACTTATATTTTAGCAATGAGGATTTGGAGGCTCAGAAATGCTAAATAACTGGCCCCCAGGTCACAAAACTATTTTGTGACGGATACAGGATTCTAACTCAGGTCTATCTGATCCAAAAGTCTTTCTTTTACACATTTAAATGAGGGCAGGGGGTGGGTAGCTGGGGTGAAGAAGGTTCTGTGGAGAACTTCAGGAAAAGGATGCATGGGCAAAGTGGTGGGGAGAGGACGGGTCACATGTGAAACTGATGAAAGACTAGAAGCGAAACGGGAGGGTATCAAAAAAAAGTGTGTCTATGGCTGCTTTCGTTCCTTGTTGTGTCCTGTGTTCGCACCTTTAGCAATTTGTTTATTGATAAAAAATCTGCAGACTGTTTCAATATAGCTATCATCGTAGTAGCCAGGGTTTCATGTATCAGCTGGGCCTGAGGAGCACTCGGTTTTTCAGGTCGGAAGCTATACTACAAATAAACAAACAAAAAAATGAACTGTAAGACAAAACTGTCACATAAAACAAATTGCTCAGAAAGAAACTTTACTCCACAAACCTTTATGAATGATCTTAAATAACTATCCAAGCCTTCTTCGTGGCACTTTGATACAATATGTAAGAGAACCCTGAAACGACATTCACAAGAGTCAGCATGTCATACTATAATGAATTATCATATTTTGATTCTTAAGATTGTCATGTGTAGCCCCCAAAACATCTAACACTGCCTAAATAATTAAAAATGAGATGACTGCATTAAACATAATGGTGATAGTTTAAGTGTATGAAAGATTTCAGCATCTATCATGCTCGGGTCTTATAAAATATATTTCCTAGTTCAAAAGAAGGATATTTAATTTGACAACCCAGATGTGACGTCTGTTTCTAAATCTCTGTATGTGCCTGAAGCATGGTGGTAGCTACTATGCAGTAAAAGACTTCAAATTAGATAAATATTGAGATACCCTCTAGTGAGAATAAAAGGAAGAGAATAGAAAGACACAATGAAGGCTGGGTGCGGTGGCTCATGCTTGTAATCCCAGCACTTTGGGTGAACAAGGCGGGTGGATCATGAGGTCAGGAGTTTGAGATCAGCCTGGCCAACACAGTGAAACCCCGCCTCTACTAAAAATACAAAAATTAGCTGGGTGTGGTGGCGGGCACCTGTAATCGCAGCTACTTGGGAGGCTGAGGTAGGAGAATCGCTTGAATCCGGGAGGCAGAGGTGGCAGTGAGCCAAGATTGCACCACAGCACTCCAACCTGAGTGACAGAGCGAGACTCCACCTAAAAAAAAAAAAGGAGGAGAGAGAGAGAGAGAGAGAGAGAGAGAGAAAGACAGACAGAAAGAAAGAAAGGAAAGAAAGAAAGGAAAGAAAGAAAGAAAGAAAGAAAGAAAGAAAGAAAGAAAGAAAGAAAGAAAGAAAGAAAGAAAGAAAGAAAGAAAAAGAGAGAGAGAAAGGCAATGAAAAGCATGTCAACAGACAGGGGGAAAAGGGAGAGCTAGGGCAGGTGTAATGATATGAACTATAATTGGGGTGAGAGACTAGCAGTGTCCTCAAAGTTCAGCACATATAAGAAGCACGTGGTGGGTCCTTTGACTCCATTGCTCAGCCCTTCTCCCAGAGTTTCTCATTTTGTAGGTCTGGAGTGAAGCTCAATGATTAACAATTTTACTAAATTCCCAGGTGATACTGATGCTACTGGTATGGGAACCATGTTTTGAAAACCACTGGCCTAAAGTTTCTTCCATTTTCAACCACACTATCCCCAACAGCAGCAATGCACGCAAACGGTGTGTGGCTGTGGTGTGAGGTCTGGTGGAAGAGGTTGTGGCAACAGCAGAGGCAGCAAAGCAAGAAACTTCCAGCACTCAGCCCACAATTTAAGTATCCTGTTTTGATTTGAAAATTCAGGTGCATTGTGCATTCTACTCTACAATACATCCTTGTTTGTTTTCATATAAAAATAATACTTCCTTATTCTTTCAAGTAAAAATTGATGGCTTAGGGCCACATTCTGTTAAATATACATCCCTAGTCACCTGTGTCTATTTAAATTGATTAAAATTAAAATTAAACACAATTAAAAATTCGGTTCCTGCAGGGCGCAGTGGCTCACACCTGTAATCCCAGCACTTTGGGAGGCCAAGGCGGGTGGATCGCCTGAGATCAGGAGTTTGAGACCAGCCTGGCCAACACGGTGAAACCCCCATCTCTACTAAAAATACAAAATTAGCTGGGCATGGTGGCGGGCGCCTGTAATTCCAGCTACTCGGGAAGCTGAGGCAGAAGAATCGCTTGAACCCAGGAGGCAAAGGCTGCAGTGAGCCGAGATTGCTCCATTGTACTACAGCTGGGGCAACAAGAGCGAAATTCCATCTCAAAAAAAAAAAAAAAAAAATTCTGTTTCTCAGCTGAACCAGCCCCAGCTGAAGTGCTCAATAGCCACATGTGGCTGGTGGCTGCTATACTGAACAACACAAGTGTAGAACATTTACATAATTGGAGAAAGTTCAATTGGAACTTAGATATTTATCTTTTTAAATACATAAAGCAAATATTAATGAACATGAAAGGAGAAATATATTGCAATATAAAAATAGAGGACTTCAATATCCCACTTTCAACAATGGACAGATCAACCAGACAGAAAAGTAATAAGGAAATATTGGACTTGAACTACACTTAGACCAAATAGACCTAACAGACATATACAGAACATTCCATCCAACAGCAACAGAATATCCATTCTTTTCATGAACACACAGAATCGTCTCTAGGCTAGACCATATATGTTAGGCCACACACCAAGCGTTAAGAATTTTACACACCAAGCGTTAAGAATTTTAAGAAGACTGAAATCATATCAAATGTTGTTTCCAACCACAATGGAATGAAACTAGAAATCAATCACAGGAGAAACCGTGGAAAATTCAAAATAGGTGGAAATTAAACATGTTCCTGAGTCAAAAAAGAAAAGGGAAAATGTATAATATCTTGAGACAAATGACAATGAAAACACAACATACCAAAACCTATGGAATGCAGCAACAGCAGTTCTAAGAGGGAAGTTTCTAGTAATGAATACTTCTATTAAAAGATAAGAAAGATTTCAAACAGCATCTTGGTATTATAACACCGAAACTCACATGGTGCAGTTGATAGGAACGTCATCTTCATGAGTCATATTTGTGAGAACTCGGAAGAGTTGCATAAGAATTACAGGCAGAAACTGTATCATGACTTGGATCTCCATGGCATGCAAACACTAAAATTAAGTCATTATTAGTTATGAAAACAAACAGAAATATGATAAAATTTGCACATGTGAAACAACAAAAAAATTAAGTAATGAGAAATACATTGACTAGCGTATAAGTTCAATTAAAAGTGAGCTTTCCATGGGATAGGGGGCTTTTTGTTAATTAATCCACACCTCTATTTGCTACTCAGATTTTATTTCATGTTAAACACTAAAGGTAATAAGTATAATTTGGATAAACAGTTTTTGGAAAATTGACAACTGACTCCTGGTAAACCAACACTCAATTGCCTGGGGCAGTGGGGAGGAACAGACATGTGTGGAGATGATACTAGAGATGCATCTACTAACCCCCAGGCATTCTGTATCTTTTGCAGGGGAAGGTGGGCATCAGTTAATCTGGTGACAAGTTAAGTGGAATTCAATAAAGAGTGGTTCTATATGTAATTGGCTGTACACCATTACCACTACAAAACGGAAGCACTTTTACAGTCTAAGAATCTTATAATACATTTCCTTCAAAGTGCTAACACTCTGTCTCCAATGATAAGTGCGCTACGAACATCAAAAAGAAGAAACGTGATCATATATACAGAGAAATTATACAAATAGTGAAAGTTGTTCAATTTCTTTCTTCTTTCTTCCCTTCTCTCCACATTCACTCACTCAACCAGTCAACCAAAAAAAGGAAACAAACCTCGCTGAGCATCTTTCTATATCAATTCAATGTGTAGTGCTAGGTGAAATAGAGAGGTGGATAAATCAAGTCTCTGTACTTAAAAAACTCATAAGTTCTCTTTCCCAGATTCCCTGACTCTTGCCACAATCTGTCTTCAAGACCTTCTAATCGATAACCAAAATAGTATAAATCATTTTCTCTTTAGCAGGTCTCTGTACCATTTCTCTTTACTCTCAATACATCCAACTCTCATTTCTAAATTAATCTTCCTCAAATACTCGTTACATTAGACCACCTCCTGCCAAGACTTTTTCGATGTCTCCCCATAGCCTATGACAGTGGTTCTCAACCAGGGGCCATTTTGTCCCCAACAGATTTGGCAATGTCTGGAAACGGTTTTGGTGGTCACAACCAGGGGGTGATACTGACATCTAGTGGTCAGAGGCCAGCAATGCTGCTAAATATCCTATAACGCACACACAGACCCTCATGGACAACGAATTATTCTACCCCAAAATGTCAATAGTGCCGAGATTGAGAAATCCTGGCCTAGAGTATTAAGACCAAGTTATTTCAGACCTAACTGGCATTTTCAGCCTAAACAATCATCACTGTTCTCTACAAGGCCAAACTGGTATCTCCGGTTTCTTCACTGTTCTTGAATATATCATTTACTTTCCTACCTTTGTGTCTGTTCATAGTTTTTAGCCAAATCCTGGCCACTCTTTCAAGGCAAGTACAAATCACCACTTCAGGGAAACCATTCATTTTCTCATTCGACAAAGGGAAAACAAATGAACTCCCGATAGCCAAGCACACCAGAAACAAAAGTAAACCCAAACAAATAAAGGCCATGGTTTCTACCATCAAGTTGTTTGCAGTGTACAGGGGATAAAGACATGGAACTAAATAACTGCAATATCAACAGTAAATACCATGATCATGGGATATACAAAATTCACAAAGAAGCCACTGAGTGTGCAACTGAGTGTGCAAGTGGGTAGGGAATGTCTGGTAAGGCCTTAGAGATGGGAAAGGGTGAATGATAAATAGAATAGTGCCAGGTAGAAAAGAGAGATGGGCATTCCCTGCTACCAGTAGCGGTCCTCTGTAGTTTATTCTCAACATGACAGCCAGAGTGTTCTTTTTGAAATGCAAATTAGACATTGCCATCTTTCTGTTGTTAAAAACAAAGCAAAACAAACTACTGCGAACAAAGAGCTGTCATAAGCTTCCATGCCTACGACATACCCTGCCTGTCCCTCCAAACCCATCACTTGCCATCCTCCCCCAACAATGCACACTGTACTATAGCTACATGGTCTTTTCTTTTATTTTTCTGTCCTTCAAACATGCTGATGTAAGGTGTTTACATGGCTTTACCCCCTAAGGTTGTCTTCCTCTCATCCTTTCAGCTTGAAATGCCATTTCCCCCAGTAGGCCTTCCCTGACAACGCTATGTACAGTGTACTTCCGGTCATGTTGGATCCCATTAACCTGCTCTTTTCTTCATGGCACTCGCTTATAGTCTCTCTACCACAACTGGAAAAGGTATGCTGCCTAAACTGTTCCCCATTCAATTCATAGCATCCAGAACAATGTGTGGCCCATACTACACGATCAATAAATATTTGGTGACTTACTGAATAAATGAATAAAATAATAAACTAGGCCGGGCCTGCAATCCCAGCACTTCGGGAGGCTGAGGTAGGCGGATTACTTGAGCTCAGGAGTTCGAGACCAGCCTGGCCAACATGGTGAAACCCCGTCTCCACTAAAAATACAAAAATTAGCCAGGTATGGTGGTGCATGTCTGTAGTCCCAGCTACTCGGGAGGCTGAGGCAGGAGAACAGCTTGAACCCGGGAGGCAGAGGTTGCAGTGAGCTGAGTTTGCACCATTGCACTCCAGCCTGGGCAACAGAGTGAGACTCTGTCTTCCCCTTCCCCCCAAAAAAAGACAGGAGCCCTCTAGTCTACAGTAGTTCCTCAGTTCACCAAACCCTCAGCACTTGTACACCGTATCACATACTGGACATTTCATCATATATTGCTTTGAACTATTAATTGTATTATTGACAGACTGTCATTTAACTTATGTGTGTCCTGTCTCTTCAGTTAGACTATAAGTTCCCCTATGGACAATAACCCTAAATTATTCTTCTCTGTAAGCCTCAAAGAACTAGGAAAATACTAAATATATAAGAAGAGCTCAAAAAGTGGATGGTAAATGAATTCTTGAAACAATGTCATTTATAGGAACAACAGATAGCAAGGTGTAGTAGAAAGAACATGGGACTCGTCATAGTCTCACCCCAGTTCTGCTACTAACCAGTTGAATGACTATAGGCAAGTCACCTTTACTTGGGCCCCAGCTTCCTCATCTGTTAAAAAAAAAAACAAAAAAAAGCCTTGACTGGACGTGGTTGCTCACACCTGTAATGCCAGCACTTTAGGAGGCCCAGATGGGCAGATTACCTGAGGTGAGGAGTTCAAGACCAGCCTGGCCAACATGGCGAAACCCCATCTCTACCAAAAATACAAAAAAAAAAAAAATTAGCTGGGCATGGTGGCGGGCACCTATAGTCCCAGCTACTCAGGAGGCTGAGGCAGGAGAATCACTTTAACCCAGGAGGCGGAGGTTGCAGTGAGCTGAGATTGCACCACTGCATTCCAGCCTGGGCGACAGAGCGAGACTCTGTCTCAAAAAAAGAAAGAAAGAAGAAAAAAAATCTTGAGAATCCTTTTCCGCACTAAGGTTATATAGAGGAGCTTGGCTATTTCTGAAATCACAAGGTATTTCATTGACTGCCACTAGAGGGAGAGTGTAGGTCACATAAATATCAGAAATTTCACATCTTCAAAAAAACAAATACGAGCGCTTTTCCATTTTAAGAATACCCGTATATATGAAAATGATGTTCTTTTCCATTCCACTTGATCAAAACTTTTATAAAACTTTCCCATGTGAAGAACAAGCATTAACAAAGCATTCATACATATTGAGGTACTAGACATTTACCTGAGGAAAAGATTTAAAAGTTAGATGATTATCATACCTTTTTTTTTTTTTTTTTTTTGAGACAGGGTCTTGCTCTGTGGCCCAGGCTGGAGTGCAGTGGCATGATCACAGCTTACTGGGGACTCAACCTCCCAGGCTCAAACATCCTCCCACGTCAGCCTCCCAAGTAGCTGGGATTACAGACATGTGCCACTATGCCTGGCTAATTTTTGTATTTTTTTGTAGAGATGGGTTTCACCATGTTGATTAGGCTGGTCTCGAACTCCTGGGTTCAAGCAACCTGCCTGCCTGGGCCTCCCAAGGTGCTGGGATTACAGGCATGAGCCATTGTACCTGGCCTATAATACTTCTTAATGATGGTTAAGAACATATAGCCATAAAGCCACCACTTACTGACTGTCTCCCTTCTACTCTTCCAACAGTGTGTTTTCTATATGGTAAGCAGAATGACACCTTAAAAACCAAAGTCACATCATGTCACACCTCTGTCCAAAGCTCCATAAGGCTTCCTATCTCACTCAGAGTGAATTCAAACTCCTCGCCATGGCTTATGAGGCCTTACTTGACAAGCTCCCAGCAACCTCCCCAAGGTAATGTCCTATCACTCTGTGTCCCAGCCACACTGGGATTCTTGCTGTTCCCCGAACACATCAAGCCAAGCTCCTGGGGGCCTTTGTACTTTCTGTTCCCAGCTCTCCCCGAGATATCCACATGGCTGGCACTCATTTCCTTTAGGTCTCTGTTCAAATGTGCCTTTACTAGAGAGATTTTCTCTGGCCACTTTAAAACAGGGACCCCTTGTAAATCTCTGCTCCCCTTCATTGTGCTGGTTTTCTTTATAACAGTTATTACCATATGAGATGACGTATATATTTATTCACTTATGTGTTTACTGTCTGTCTCAACAAGTAAGCTCTTTGACAATAGGGATATTATTTGTTTTCTTCACTTAAATTTCCAATGCTTAAAATGATGCCTGGCCCATAGGAAGCACTAAAGGAATAAGTGTGGCATGAATGATTACTATCTGGCAGATGCTCTAATCTTTTTTTTTTTTTTAAACAAACAAACAAACAAACAAAAAAGCAGAATCTCGCTCCGTCACCCAGGCTGGCGCGACCTCAGCTCACTGCAACCTCCGCCGGCCTTCTCAGGTTCAAGCGATTCTCCTGCCTCAGCCTCCTGAGTAGCTGGGATTACAGGTACCTGCCACCACGTCTGGCTGATTTTTGTATTCTTAGCAGACACGGGGTTTCACCATGATGGCCAGGCTGGTCTTGAACTCCTGAGCTCAAGCAATCTCCCTGCCTCGGCCTCCCAAAGTGCTGGGATTACAGGTGTGAGGCACCATGCCCAGCCCCATTATCTAATTTAAGTCTCACAACCATCCTACAAGATGGGCACTATTGTTATCCCCACATGACATATGAAGAAACAAAGGCTCAAAGAAGTAACTTGGTCATGGTCGGTTACAGAGCTAGTAAGTGACATGTGGGATACAAGCTCAGTTTATTATTCCAGAACCCATATATTTGATCTCATCTCATATGACCTCTCTGAAAGAAATGAACATTTTTGTTCCTGAGTATATCATTAAGTAACAGCATATGTCCAAAGGTAAATCCTAAAGATGTGTGATTTAAAATAAAATTTCCTCAGACTTGCTATAGCTATCTTATTAAAGGAACAATTAAAAGAAGAGAGCCACTGTCAGGCAAATTATGACATGCACTGTAGTCCTAGCACACAGGCAAAAAACCACGTGTTAGGTTCTCTATACATGTGGTAAGACACAATATTCCAACATGCATAAAATATGTGTCTTTCGTTAGCCAGCCCCTTTCTTAGTCTATCACCCGTGGACACAAGAACCATTTCACATTTCATTCCAAGCCAAAGTGATTCCATTCCTCTGGCCCTTTCCCCCACAGCATCCTCCACCTTTATTGGGCAGTCAGCAGGAAGACAAAGGCCCTGAAAAATCAATTTATGGACCTGAAATAAACATTTTCATGAGAGTTTCAAAAATATGATGCTGCGCTGTTGCTATTACATTTTCTTCCTAATGTCGCCACTCTGCTGTCTGGTTCTAAACAGCCACATGATGGAAAAATACATAATAGAAAGTATTCTCTTGAGGAAATACAGCCAAAAATATTTTAAACTGTCTGTTTGCTTTTTTTTCCCCACACCAAAATGTGGCAACAGAAAGATAAGAAAAACAAACCTTTCGCAGAAAGCTGCTGTTCATTTACCTTTAAATATTTAATGAGCTCCCCTGGAACTTCTTTCGAGCCTGACTGAATCAGCTGGCAATGATGGAAGAATTTGTGCACATGCAGATCCTGGAACACAGATGGAAACAGCCATATGAAATTTGATTCATTATCCTCAAATGCAAGCTCTCTACCTTTCCCTCCTGCTGTATCTTGCAGACCTACTTATCCGGTATTTTAATGCCCGGGCTCAGCAGCTCTTGACCATCACACAAAGCAGCAAAACCAGGTAAATCTGGCATGTACATAAGCACATGGGGTAGGCCACCATTTTATTATTTATTTTTTTTTTTTGAGATGGAGTCTCGCTCTGTCGCCCAGGCTGGAGTGCAGTGGCGCGATCTCAGCTCACTGCAAGCTCCGCCTCCCGGGTTCACGCCATTCTCCTGACTCAGCCTCCCGAGTAGCTGGGACTACAGGCACCTGCCACCACGGCCGGCTAATTTTTTTTTTTTATATTTTTAGTAGAGACGGGGTTTCACTGTGTTAGCCAAGATGGTCTCGATCTCCTGACCTCATGATCCGCCCGTCTCGGCCTCCCATAGTGCTGGGATTATAGGTGTGAGCCACCGCGCCCGGCCGGTAGGCCACCATTTATGTCCAACTAGCTAAACATTCATTTGATTCCGACTTTGACTAGTGTGTTCTATGAAGTTGGGCTGCTTCTCCATTTTAATGAAATAAGCAGAAATAAAGGTCTGAACTGAAAAATATACAGATAAATAAATAATAAAGATCTGAACTGATAAAGAAAAGATAGCAGCAGGAAGTTAGCAGAACAATAGTCTCAGGCATTCAATACCCAAATTTGCCATGGCACTTCACTGGCAAGGGAGTCCAACTGTCCTATGTGGAATCCATATATACTGATTTTGTAGACAGCATGGACTACATCAGGAACTAGAATAATGAAATGTGTGTTTTGACCTGATTCCCCTGACTACTACTCTGTGACCTTGGGTAAGTCACCTAACCTGCCTGAGCCTCAGTTTCCTCACCTATAAAATGGAGATGATGGCTTTCACATTCCTTTCAGAGTTCAATGAGGCTCAAATCAGTTAATGAGAATAAAAAGATAGTGTAATTTGAGAGAACTGTAATATTTGAGATAGAATGACTTTTTTTTTTTTTTTAAAGAGACAGGGTCTTACTCTATCTTCCAGGCAGGAGTGCAGTGGCGGAATCACAGTTCACTGCAGCTTTGAACTGAGCTCAAGCAATCCTCCTGCCTTAGCCTCCCAAAGTACTGGGATTATAGGCATGAGCCACTGCACCTGGCCAGATGTTATTATTAATGAGAAAATCTTGCAGGTCACATCTTCTCTAAGGCTGTAGGAATCAAATGTGGTCTATTTTAATCAAACAAACTCAAGTATAAAAATTGACAAAATTCAAACGACGCAACTTACTTGAGTGTAAATGGTAGATTCTAAGTGGCTTTTAATCTTCAGCAAAGGCTTTGCACCATCTACCCATTTAATATCCACGTTACATTGCTGTGAACAGAAAATTGAGTTTCTGTAACATAACAATGGATAGATGAACAACATATAATATCTTTATGCATTTAAACATTTTTTCAGAAATGAATGTATTAATTTCATACCAAGAGATTATTGGAGAAAATACCCTACCTTTAGAATAAATATATCATAAATCATTTTAAATTTCCAATCCTTTGCAGACTGATATTTTCATAAATTACAGTAAAATGAATTACTTAAATATTTTTTAATATTATGCACAAAATCTGAGCCCCACTAAAAAATTGTTATTAAAATCAACAGACATAAAATTACTTTGTCAAACTGCTACAAATTCTAAACATGCACATTTCATGTTTATTTTTGTTGTGGACCCACACCGGCCCTCAGACCTCACTTTGAGTAACATTGTATTAAACAATCGAGACCAACAGAATTCTATTTTTTGCACATTTAATCATGATTACTTCAACAAATGCAGTATTTTCCTACCCTTCTTGATTCCGCATCATTCAGATTCAAGTAGCCTGGGGGAAGATTGGCGGAAACTGGCAGCTGCTGCTCAAATGTGATGATTCTACCATCTTTCAGCAAAGGTACCCAGGCAAACCCAACTGCCAAGATAATAACCAACCGTGAGAAAGGAAATAACAAATGCAATCAGTAGGGGGCAGGGCAGGGTGGTGATGTCTCCAGGGATCTATGTGTGGGAGTTCAGGTGCTGGGCAACTGAGTACTGGGGAAGGAACCATGGGTTTGGATGAACTCTCAATCCCAGCCTGACCACTAACAAGTTATGTACTCTATTTCCTTGACTATAAAAACGGGAATAACACCACAAGAATCTTTTTGATCTTTTCATCTACAAGAATTATTGAGAAACCAAAGTGAGATTACATGAAAACACTTTAAAACTTTATAAGTGCATCAATATCATTGTCTTTATGCTTTGGGAAATATTTTTGGTAGATTTATTTTTAAAAGGCTCAGATAGTTCTCATCCATTCTTACACTAAGAGTACAGAGTCTCATGGCTGAGACTATTTCAGATAACAATCACATGTTCCAGAATTTCTTATGGCAACCCTAGGGTAAGGAACTGAAAAATGAAGGTCACAAAGTCACGGTTACACTCCATATTTACACAAGGCAGTAGGCATAAATCATTTAGTTAGGCAGAGTTTTCCTGATTACAGAAGGAAGAGGTGTAGGTGGAGGTAGGAGAATGCAGCCAGGGAATAGTGTTTATGACTTGAATCTATCAAGAGACTTGAATCTATCAAGAGATTTTCCCCAATCTCTACATTTCTTAACAGTTCTCCCCAAAAGAGCCTTTTTGGCTTTCAATTAGAAAACTCATCATGTTCTAGCTAAAAAAGCCAGAGCCATCTGTGTTGCTCAAGTTGAGTGGTGTCAGTATTTCCATTATAGAGATTACTCTGGGATTCAAGTGTTTATAACTCAGCTGTAAAAAAGCTTGCTCTGGACTGAGTTTTGGCATGTGACAGAGGGTATTGGCTGGAGAACATTTTTTAAAGCCACTGCTTTCTGATTCTTTAAAATTCTTTGTGTGACTGTGTGTGTGTGTGTGTGTGTGTGTGTGTGTGTGTGAGATTCTGTGAACACAGAAGTCAACACAAATCTGGTTAGAATGTTTTCATTTATGTGTTTAATTTGGCAAATGCTTTAATTCTTAAAAGGAGACTAAAACATTGCTTCTTTAAGTAGACTAAATGGCTTTCTCAGACCCCGAAATGTGCCTGATGGGCATCTTTACTAGTTCAACTACACAAATGGTTTACCCAGACCTTTTCTTTTATAAAAGGCAGAGGAAAGTAACCTGAGCAGAAGAACCATTAGAAATGACTCTGTCAAAGTAGTTAAACTAAAAATTTGATGAATGAGAAAAGATTTCCAGCCCTGAAAATAGGAAAATGAAAGGAAAATCTATTTCTTGTTCTTATGCAACATTTTAAAACAGAAATTTTTATTGAGACCTCACATTCAGATATACCATACAATTCATTTATTTAAAGTGTACATATAGTGGTTTTTAGTATATTTGCGAAGTTGTATCTCCATGACCACCACTTAATTCCAGAAATTTTCATCACCCCCAAAATAAATCCCATAGCCCTTAGAAGTCACTCCCCATTTCCCTCTTCTCCCAGACCCTGGCAACTGATAGTCTACTTTGTCTCTGTGGGACTGCTTAGGCAACATTTTTGTACTGTAAATGAATCAGAGCACAACCAAGCATGTCCCCTATTCAAAACTCATAGAGAGCACTTGGAAGCTGTAAAGGCACAATGTCAAGCACACCATCTGGCTCAAAGGTGGGAAGTCACTTAAAGAATGGACAGTTCAAAGTGATGAGTGGCTCACAGAATAACCATTTCATGCTCCACTGAGCATCTTGTCCACCTCTGTCTAGGATTTGGATAACGAATCGGTAATTTAGCTTTCAGGATGTACACATGGTCATGGGTTCTTATCATTCTGCTAGTTTTCTTCTCAATCCTCAAAGCCCCTACCCTGAACTAACTGCAATTTCTATGGGGATGAAGAACAGATCCACACTACCTGCAAAGGGAACTCCCTCATTTTCAGTTCTACTGCCTGCTAGGTATCACTCCAATGTCTCACTAGCACCTAAAACTCAACTGATGTTGTCCCAAACCTGCCATCCCTACCCACAGTTTTGTTACTGGCAATGCCTTCTTTCCAACCACCCAGTTTTGAAACTTCATTGCTAACTAAATCATCTCTCTAATAGCCAATCACTTACCAGGTCCAATATGTTCTTCTTCTGCACTTCCCTTTCTCTCTGCCCACCCCGCACCCACCCCACTACTGCCATAGTGCGGCCTCTTCCTTACCTGGACCTTTGAAATAACCCTCTAACTGGTTTTCCTTTCTTCCTCTTCCTGCTCCTACTTGCCTTGCCCATTATACTGCTGCCTGATTGGTTTTCCTGAAAAACAGCTCTAATGTTTAAAACTCTCCAATAATTCCATTGTGGTGATGGAATAAAATCAAATCTATAGCCTGGTATTCAAGGCTTTCCAAAATCTGATGCCTCCTGTTCAACCTGACATCCTATGATCCCCCTCCTAGCACCCTGTGCTCCAGGCTTAGTGAACTACTTGTGGTTTCCTGTCCATGCTCCTTGATACTCTGCCTCTGTACAAGCTGCTCCTTCACCTCATAATCCCCTACATTCCTGCCATCGTTGCATTATTGAACCCCACCCAACCCTTTAAGGCCTCACTCAAACACCATCTCCTAGAAGCCTTCTCTGATTCTCAGCCACTCGTCCCTCCACCAGCTGAATAATTCGCTCTTCAATAACTTGCATTATTGAACCCCACCCAACCCTTTAAGGCCTCACTCAAACACCATCTCCTACAAGCCTTCTCTGATTCTCAGCCACTCGTCCCTCCACCAGCTGAATAACTCGCTCTTCTGAGTTCACGTTGCACTACTTTCTTAAACACCACTTTCTATCTTGTATTATAATTGTTTACGCAGGACTCATTTCCCTTACTAGATCATATCCTCACTGAAGCTGAGATCTGTGTTTGATTCTCCACTATATTCTCCAAAGTGCCTACTACAGTATCTTGTACATAATACAGTTTGAGTATGCCTTATCTGAAACTTTTAGGAACAGAAGTATTTCAAATTTCTGATTTTTTCAGATTTTGGAATATTTGCATTATACCAGTTGAGTATCTCAAATCCAAAAATTCAGAATATGAAATGTTCCAATGAGCATTTCCTTTGAAGATCTTGCCGGTGCTCAAAAAGTTTCCAATTTTGGAGAATTTTGGACTTGGGGATCTGGGATGCTCAACCTGTATGCAGAAATATTTGCTGAATGAATCAATGAATAATACAGACTAGCTGGGATCCGAATCTTAGGACATGCTGATGTTCATAAAGTGCTTGTGATACAAGCTATGTTCACAAGGCCTTCTATTTCTGCTAAGGATGCTACCCACTGGTTTACCTAAAGCCTTGCTGAATGGGCCCATGACGAGAGCTTCACTACTGAAGCTTATTCAAGTTTGTTAAATCAGTTATCTTCTCATTAGAACTAGTCAACCCCCCACCTCCCTCTGGCTCACAGATGTCCCTGGGTCTGGGCTCACTTCCCTCTTCCTCAGTGAGCAGAACTGGAAAATTCTGGTTGCTGGGCAATTCTACATAAAAGAAATAACAAAAATACTATATCGCAATATGTGTTTCTTTTTGAGAATAGCAATATTACTTTATGTTGCTTATAGTAGTCTAAGCACACTGGCAAGCATATGGACAATGATACTAAAATGAACATATAATATGCATTTTACCAATGAGCATTTAAAATTAGAAATGTGCTTGATATGGTTTGGCTGTGTCCCAACCCAAATCTCAATGTGAATTGTATCTCCCAGAGTTCTCAAGTGTTGTGGGAGGGACCCAGCGGGAGGTAATTGAATCATGGGCGCCAGTCTTTCCCGTGCTATTCTCGTGATAATGAATAAGTCTCATGAGATCTGATGGGTTTATCAAGGGTTTCTGCTTTAGCTTCTTCCTCATTTTTCTCTTGCTGCTGCCAAGAAGTGCCTTTCACCTCTTGCCATGATTCTGAGGCCTCCTCAGCCATGTGGAAGCGTAAGGTTCAATTAAACCTCTTTTTCTTCCCAGTCTCGGGTACGTCTTTATCAGCAGCATGAAAATGAATGAATACAGTGGTTTTTGGTCAAGGGAAGAAGTGGTCTATAGCATGATGAAAAGAGATTATATCCTGGACAATTCCATTTCAAATAACTGTAGGAGAGAGGCATTTAAAGAGTACACATACCTGGAGTTTCAACTGTGTCCTGCTTTTTGGTTGTCCCCTTTGTGTTAATTTCACAACTTACATGATAAAAAGTGAAAAGCAAATGATGTTTTTGATGTAGGTGAATGGGAAGCTCAATTTTAATCTGAAATGAAAGCAAAATTACACATGGCACTTTGTTTTCTCAAGCTGAAACTATCAGACATTTAGTTCAGTTTCATCATACTGCTCCAAAAATACTTCCTAAAGGACTGGCCAAGTGGCCAAATAGTATCATTTAAATATATTCCAAATGCTTTTCTGGTCAGTTTCAGTTTGACAGCAATATTCTGAGTTGTGAGAGTTGATTTATTACTTTTGCTGGAGAGTACAATGGATTCTCCTGGATTCAATTTTGCAGCATAATTTTCTAAAACACTAAGTCAAAACCACATCCTCACAGCCCAGGGATACTATGCAACTCAATCTGCATCAATGAATGCAACCCATTTAAAATGTACACTGAATTTGAAAGGCTACTTTTTTTCCAAGTTGTTGTTCTCTTTTGCATGAAAAAATTAAGCCATTACAAATAAATATGCAAAAAGTAACTATGGTCTTATGGTATCCACAAATTATAGTTTATAGAAATTTCTCTAGAAGAAAAACACAACTTTGCTCTTAAAGATGAAAATTATCAGCCATGACATATACATTTAGTAAAAAATTAATGGTTGTAATAAAGCATAGCAAGTAATTTTCTAATCAGATCCCAACTGAATGTTTGTAATGCCTCCTGAAAGTATGTAAGAGAGAAATTACAGATTTAAATGATTTGATGCACATGCACGTACCCACCAAGGTACACATGCAAATACTCTCTGTCTCTCTCAGTCAATATACAGTGAATGATTGAAAAGCATGTTCATTTTAGGCATCCTAAAAATAATGTGGGTTACTTACTACATGGTCAAGTTTTTTGTAGTGACTGATGTTGGTACACATATTTAACAACTTGGTGATGGACATCTGGTCCAATTATCATTCATACAAGGCATGGTTTTGATGTTATAACTAATGTCTGTTTTAGGTATACTTCACTACAGAACATGCCTATTCACAGCATCCAGACCATCTGGGCATGTAATGCTCTGCTGCACATAAATATGGGCATACTCCCTCCCTTGGTGGCAAAAATACAAGGCAATACTATCCCCTCCCCGTCCCCCATGAAACTAGGGACACTGGATTGAAAGAAAGTGAGCAAGGTCTAAGGCTGTGATATAAGGCTTCCATACAACAGCAGGTGGACATGGCAAAATCACCACAGCGGGGGGGATGGTTTCAGACCAAGCCAAGAATGGAGCCACGTGGACTGAGGAGCAGGGACAGTAGAGCATCTGGGCTGGGATGCCCATCCAGGTTCCATAGAGACATATAGGAATCAAAAGGAGACTACAGATTTGGATATGCCAGATACATACAGACCAGAAGTGGCTGTGACAGAGATACTAAGAGACACGCTGGGAAGCACACAGAGACGTAGACGTGGAGAAGTAGGAAGAAGGAAAGAGGGGCAGAGACAGGGTTTCAAAGGCAGAGACACAATTTGAGAGGCTGAGTCAGGAGGAAGCACAGATACTCAGAGACCCAACCATACCCCTTTTTCTGCTTTGCACCGAAGCATGCAGGCCAGCCAGTGGGATTCTGGTGGCCCAGCTGTATCACTGTCTCTCCTAGTATTTCAGTTACAGAAAGACTGCACCCTACTATGTAAAACCGTAAGGGGAAAGAGCTAGAAAGGCATTCTGAAAACCTCTTCTGAATTTCTCATTTTAAAGCTGAGGAAATGGAGACTCTGGAGGGGGAAGTGACTTGATGTTATAGAGCCCGCACTGTCAAAGCTAGGAGGGCTAGAACCCTAGCTCCACTCTCGTGTTTGTCTCCTGCATTGTTACCTCAAGTCGAAGAGCCCCTTAAATTGGGGGGTAAATCTTCTACTACCATCAAAAGGCACCAAGCAGGCCAGTAGCACTCTGTTTTGTTGTAATATTTTCTGTTTTCATGGAACAAAACACTCAGGGATTGAAAGTGCAGGTAAAATGATGAAAATGATTCAAAGAGAAAAAGAATTCCAGCCACTGCATTTTAAAAATGTCAGGATAATATATTTTTACCTCATCATAGAACTCTGGATTTTGATTGTGATGCGAGACAACAGCATAAGCATTTGCGGTAAAAACAGACCCTGCAGGTTTTCCATAAATACACTGCAAAAGAAGGAAACAGAGTCACCACTCCAAATGCAGGTCTGTAAATGTGATGCCATGGAACCACATATAGTTAGAGGCATCTGTCAGTACACGGCCACGGCCAAGCCCACCTGGCAGTCACCATGAGCCTGTAAATTCCCAATCATTTACACCGTCATTCCAGACACCAAATCGGACACCATGTAACTTGGCTGTACGGATGCTTCTGAATTTCCAGCCATCAAAGAAACACAATCTCAAACTACTTGTTAGTAAGGAGCTGAACAGGCCTAGTCATTTGGAAGGGAAACGCTTGCCTCAAACGAGGCCTGTAAAGCTTACTTCTCTTATGCTATTTGCATTTCTTAATATGAGAGGCTCCCCATCAACCAGTTGGCAACATTTGTTAAATGCTCTTTGTGCAGTGGGCAAGGTGAAGCATGTTTAAAAAGTTCTAGCAGACACATTCCTGGCCTAAAGGAATTAAAAAATTGAATGTGTATTAAGCTACAGACAAGCTTGCTGTTCTCTCACATTTTTAAATGTGGCACTTTATGAGCCACATTTTAAAATATCACTGGCTTTCTGTTATACCAATAAAATAAATGTAAGGCTTTCTATGGTTCCATGGAAAGATCCAATTTCATTTCTAGTGGGAGTTTTTCACTTCTATAGGCCTAATAGGCTCAAGGATGAATATGGAGTCAGCATGCCAACGCACTAATTGCCTCACTCTGTTACTTTAGAGCGAGCAATCCAGGCCAGCCAAGAAATGAAATTGAAACTCCATATGAGTGAATATCCAACTCTTCTTAAATACGGTTATGAAGGCAATTTGCGAGAACTGCTGAGAAGTAACCTAAGAGTCACTGGGTCTACAAAAGGATACTGCAAGTAGGAAATACAGCAGTTGTTCCCATCTCCACTGAACAGAGAACCAGACAAAACATATAGAATTTGAGCCAGTGAATCCTTAATTTAAGTTTCTCTGTTAAAAAAAAAAAAATCTCTTTTCAAAGGTGGGGGCTATTATTCAATTACTTAGTCAGGAGCATTCCAGCCTGTTTCCCTAGGTGGTTTGAGTGTAAGACCCGGCATCCATCTGTCTGATTTAGGCTCATGCAAGAGAAATGGGGAGCCAGATAAACACGTCTTGTTGGCTAGATGTTCTGACTTCTCTTTCAGGTCCCCGATTGACGGGTTACAGTTATAAAGAGTAAAAATATAAAGGCACTGTGGTGTGGCAGGTATTTAAGGATTGCTGTATCAGATAGACTGAGATTCTGCTTTTCATAGACCACAATCCAAGACTGGAGGCACTATTTGGCCAGTCATGGAGTAGAAGTCCTATCTCAGATCAAAGCAGTCATGCTGCGCTTCTGTCAGCTCAAAGCCTATTCAGGTTTCAAGGAGAAAGGAGTTTATAGTCCCTTGATGGTACCATTATAAACTATCAGGTCATAAGAAAACGACCTTGCAATTGGGCATTGAAGCAATTGCAAAATCAAAAAGGAGCAAAAGCCAAAACCTGGTATTTTTAAAGCTATATATGCTCCTACTGCATTAATATTTAAACTAAGCCTTATAGTTAATATGTAAGAGTAAAAAAGAAAGTATTACATTTGTCACTTTAGAACATTTTCTTTTTGATGTTGATACAATTAAACTTGGAGCATAAGACTACTGATTACCAAAATCTCCATCTCTACTGAAAACATACGCCTATCAATATCATAAACAAACCTTTAGAGCACTAGCGTCACTTTCATCTGAATCCCGGAATTCCACACAGACTGCAATGTTCCTTGCCTAAAATGATTAATCAGTCAAAATGAGTCACACAATTAGCAGATTATAAATAACATTTTATACTCCAAAAATGTATAGTTTACACGGTTACCTTGGCAAATGTTTTCTGGCTATCATATTTTAATTGCAAGGGATATACATACAGATGGTTTTTGTAAATAGTAAATGGATAACAATATTTTGTCATTTCTGGAACGAACTCTTCAACCTCCACAGTAATATTTTGACAATTCTTTTCAAAAGGCTTCAAGGGAACATATGAAGAAGTAATACAATCTATAGTAGGGAAAAAAAAACAGGCAAAGATCATTCAGTTTAATAATCATTAACACATTCCTGCATGTATAAAAATATACATGAGTTGTATTCTCAAAGAGCGATTTAAAATATATAACTCTTAGTAAATGACCAAAAAATCACACGACAACTTTAAGAACCCAAAAGGACAAGATCGAGTAGTCTGATGCTGATTTTAGTGGAACCCTTCATACCAGACGTGGAGTGCTATTTCGTTCTCAATGTCGAGTGATTTGCCAAATATAACACATCATAATTTTGACAAATTTAAACTCTGCAAAGAAATCCATTTCATTTTCCCTCCTGTGGCAGCAATTTAGCTTTCACTGCAAATTTTTATTGGTATCAGGGAAATAACGGTAAATTTATGCTTCCAATTAATTCATGGCAAGTCACTTTTAAAAAGTTAACTTGGTGCAGGTGCAAATTTTCACCTAAGAAATAATGGAGGCCTTTTGAAACTACAGATCTTACGATGTGTTACCAATGATAAACTCAATACTCCTGACCGTGAAAAAATACTAAGCCTCAGAGAAGTTTAGCAGCATATGTTATTGAAATTGTCACTGTAGTAAAGGTCATTCATATACTTAAGGGGCTCTAACACTGCTGGTCGTTACTGCGGAGCAGTAATGATGAAGAAGGAAGTCCCAGGGAGAGTTGGACCTGAGGATGCTGTATTTTTTGTTGGATTTGCTTTTCTGATTATTACAGTGATACATGCCTATAACAGAGCACCTGGAAGTAGAGAGTAAAGGTAGACAGGGACAGTTGCTCATTCCATTTCCCAGAGATAACTACTGTTGAGACTTTGGCATGTTTTCTTTTAGTCTTCTTTCTATGCATATTTTATATAGTAATATGAAAATCCTACTCTATGTATAGATCTTTATCCTAATTTTTTGACATTTATCTGATGTCTCATTCCATGAGCTCTTTGTAAACACTGCTTTTAACGGCTGCAACAAAGTTTCATGGTATCAGTGTGGCGTCATTATCTTAACCACACTGACAGTGTTGGATTCTGATTGATTCCAATTTTCCTCCAATATAAGTAACGCTGCAAAGAACATCTTTATGGATCCATTTCTGCCTAGATTTCAATTACTTCTTTAGGAAAAATATAATCCATTGTACTCTTAGATGTTTTAAAATATAAAGTGGATGCCACACCTCTGTTTACTATCCTTTACTGACTTCTCACTGCATTTAGGATAAAATTCAATTTTTTAAGGCATTACCACAGTCAATACAATTCCTTACGTGACCTGACGCTTCCTATTTTATCTCCTATCTCCATTGTTCCTATCACATACTACACTAGAGCTATACTAGATTCCCTTCTGTTCATGCAAACCCAGCTTGGTCTCACCTCAAGGTATTTACAACGTATGTGATGCCCTCAGTCTGCAAATGTACAGTCCCAATCACCACATGCTGGCACTCTTTCTCCCTCTTCAGTTCCTGAGCTTAAGAGAGGTGTTCCCTGGCTACCCTTTTTACAGCTGCCCTTGTGATATGGTTAGGCTTTGTGTCTCCACCCAAATCTCATCATCAATTGTAATTCCCAGGTGTTGAGGGAGAGACCTGGTGGGAGGTGACTGTACCATGGGGTGGTTTCCCCCATGCTGTTCTTGTGATAGTAAGTTCTCATGAGATCTGATGGTTTTATAAGTGTTTGGAAGTTCCTCCTTCATTCAATATTTATCTCACCTGACACCACAAAAGACGTGCCTGCTTCTCCTGCTACCATGATTGTAAGTTTCCTGAGGCCTCCCCAGCCATACAGAACTGTGAGTCAATTAAACCCCTTTCCTTTATAAATTACCCAGTCTTGGGTAGTATCTTTTTTTGAGATGGAGTCTCGCTCTGTCGCCCAGGCTGGAGTGCAGTGGCCGGATCTCGGCTCACTGCAAGCTCCGCCTCCCGGGTTCACGCCATTCTCCTGCCTCAGCCTCCTGAGTAGCTGGGACTACAGGCGCCCGCCACCTCGCCCGGCTAGTTTTTTGTATTTTTTAGTAGACACGGGGTTTCACCGTGTTAGCCAGGATGGTCTCGATCTCCTGACCTCGTGATCCGCCCGTCTCGGCCTCCCAAAGTGCTGGGATTACAGGCGTGAGCCACTGCGCCCAGCCTGGGTAGTATCTTTATAGCAGTGTGAAAAACGGACTAATACAACTTGTTTTCTTGTATACTATCTGTCACTCCTTCTAGACTTTAAACTCCCTAAGTTTAAAGCACCTAGCTAGTAGTCAATAAATGTTTACTCAATAGTTATTCAGTGAATCAATGCATAAATATACTCTCAAAATTGGAATGCCCTACTTATGAACATCTATGGATATCTATTACCAAACTGTACTCCTCCTCATGACAGGTGATAACACCTGACCAAAACCTAGCCAGCATTAGGTAGCTTCACTCTAAACATTTTAATAGATTTGATGGATGAGCAAAAGCATATTGTTTAATTTGCCTTACTGGCATTGTTATTACTAAGATTGAGTATTTTTCCCATATTTACTAGCTACTTCATTTTATCTCTTGCAAATTGTGTTTTGTGTCTTCTATTTTTCTCCGGGGATCCTGGATTCTTGCCCTTAGACAGGAAAAGAAATCCTCCTTTTTCATCTCTTAGTTGATGACAGAAGTAAAAGTTACCCAAGGCAAAAGGCAACAGAACCTGACTGAGACACACTCACAACTTCATATATATGAAACAGCATCTGATAAAAATCAACTCAATTCACTTCCTAATCTGTAACTATTCATCATGCATACTGGGTTGAAAAGCATCCCCACCCCCACTCAAAATTCATATCCACCCGGAACCTCAGAATGTGACTTTATTTAGAAATGGGATATTTGTAGATGCAATTAGTTAAGATGAGGTCATACGAGATTAGATGGGCCTTAAATCCAATGACTGGTGTCCTTATAAGAAGGTCATGCGTCGACAGAGGAGCAGTTGGAGTGACGTGGCCACAAACCAACTGATGCCAAGGTTAGCTGGGAGTTATTGGAAGGTAGGAAGAGGCAAGGAATGGCTCTTCCCTAGAGCATTCAGAGAGAGTATGGCCCTGTGAACACCTTCATTTTGGACTTTTAGCCTCTGGAACTGTGAGAGAATAAATGTTTGTTGTCTTAAGCCACCCAATTTGTAATAACATTTTGTGTTATGGCAACCCTGGGAAACTCATATGCCATGTAAACCTCAAGAAAAATATTGAAAGGATAACAACCTGACAGTCAAACATTATGCTTAAGGTTTATTTGCAATACGTTCTTACTTGATAAATCCACAGGAACGCATTCTACTGTGATGTTTAGCTGCCCAGGTATAATCTGCAGTTTGGTCTTTTCTGGCCTGGGTATAAAATAATAATATTTTAGAGTTAAAATTATGATTACTGAATGCACTGGTTACCCCTCCATCCAAACTTACAATTTTAAGCATTCTGCTTTTCCCATATACGACTCACATTCATCATTTAAAAGAACTGAGGATTCATCTATTATATTTATTTATTGCAGAAACACCAAACACTTACTTCTTATATTCTGAGAGCAACTTGAGAATGTCTTCACTTGAAAGCTTGCTACTGTCTTGTTTATACAGAGGAGAAAATCTCCCATCCAGATCGAGAGAGCCTTGAGTATCTTTGAAAATGGGTCTAAAACAGCAACAGAAGCATTTTTAAAAAAAGATATTCCATGTTGATAAATTAAGATAAAATTAGCAATGGTCGGAATGTGAAATGGTGAAACCACTTTGGAAACGGTTTGGCGGTTTCTCGTTAAGTTAATCACCCATCACTCTACAATCCTGCAATTCCACTCCTAGGCATATTTCCACATGGTACATGAATGTTCTTAATTTGTGCAGCAGCAATTTAACAAAAATTTATATAAATACATGTTCACAGACGATTTATTTGCTATAGCTCCAAACTAGTAATAATCCAGATATTTATCAAAAAGTGAATGGGTAAGCAAACTGTTGTTGTATATTCACACAAGGAGATGCTGCTCGAAACGAACTACTGATTCACACAACAATATGGATGAATCTCAAGAACACTGAGTACAAGAAAGCAAACATCGGAGGACATGCTGCATTATTCCATTTATATGAAGGTGCAGAAGAGATAAAAAAGTCATCTGCAGTGAAAATCAGATCCGTGGTTGCCTGGGACAGGGATAAGATGGTTGAATAGACAAGGGACATGAGGAAATTTTCTGGGGTAATAGACATGTTCCATATCTGGTTGGGGTGATAGTTACATAACTGTATACATTCGTGAAAATTCATGAAGCTAGACATTTAAAATATGTAAATTTTATCAAAGGTGAAGTATATTTCCATAAAGTTCATAAAAAGCATAAGGATAAATTTATATGGGGCGATTACAATATAGAGCCACTTCTCTGTATCCATGGGCTCTGCATTTGTGGATTCAAAAAACCATGGATAAAATCATTTGGAAAAAAGAACTGTGTCTATACTGAACACAAATAGATTTTTCTTGTCATTATTCACTAAACAGTATAGTATAACAACTATTTATATAGCATTTACATTGCATTAGTAATCTACAGATGATTTGAAGTACATGGGAGGATGTGAGTAGGTTACATGCAGATACTACGTCATTTTATAGCAGAGACTTCAGCATTTGAAGATCTTGGTATCTGTGGGAGATCCTGGAACCAATGCCCCACGGATACTGAGGGATGACTATGTATGTATAGTTTCTCATATGAACTTGATTATTCCCTTCCCCTCCTCTTCTCCCATTTTTAAGCAACTGTTCTACTGCTAAAATGGAAAACAATATACACGCACCCAACACACTGGAAGCAACTATAGCCTGAAACATATTCCCCCCCGGCAGTACCTCTGAAGATGTGGTTATAGGCATTAATTAACCCCACTGTTCCTACTTCATATATATATATATATATACTTCATACATATATACTTTATACACACACACACATATATGAACACACACTTTAAGTTCTGGAATACACGTGCAGAACGTGCAGATTTGTTACCCAGGTATACACGTGCCATGCTGGTTTGCTGCACCCATCAACCCATCATCTACATTAGGTATTTCTCCTAATGTTATCCCTCCCCTAGCCCCCCACCCACCAACAGGCCCCAGTGTGTGATGTTCCCTTCCCCATGTCCATATGTTCTCATTGTTCAGTTCCCACCTATGAGTGAGAACATGCGGTGTTTGGTTTTCCGTTCTTGTGCTAGTTTGCTGAGAATGAAGGTTTCTAGCTTCATCCATGTCCCTGCACAGGACATGAACTCATCCTTTTTTATGGCTGCATAGTATTCCATGGTGTATATGTGCCACACTTTCTTTTTCCAGTTATCATTGATGGGCATCTGGTTTGGTCCCAAGTCTTTGCTATTATGAACAGTGCCACAATAAACATACATGTGCATGTGTCTTCAGAGTAGAATGATTTATAATCCTTTGGGTATATAACCAGTAATGGGATGGCTGGGTCAAATGGTGTTTCCGGTTCTAGATCCTTGAGGAATCGCCACACTGTCTTCCACAATGGTTGAACTAATTTACACTCCCACCAACAGTGTAAAAGCATTCCTATTTCTCCACATTCTCTCCAGCATTTGTTGTTTCCTGACTTTTTAATGATCACCATTCTAACTAACATGAGATGGTATCTCACTGTGGTTTTGATTTGCATTTCTCTAATGACCAGTGATGATGAGCTTTTTTTTCCTATGTTTGTTGGCCACATAAATGTCTTCTTTTGAGAAGTGTCTGTTCATATCCTTTGCTAAGCATACCTCCTTTATTTCTAGTAAACAGGGGTTTATCGTATATCTTTTAAACATCCAGCCCAGCCTTTTGAGTAAGTTTTTACTACTGCTGAGAACCAAAACAATTCAGGAGGAAAAAAATACCTTAATTCCTCATCAGAACTGGAAATCAAAGCTTCTAACTTTGAAGACTTCAAAATTATTTTTTCTACTGGTAAAACGGCATCAAGCAGCTACTGGTATGGCCCAAAGAGGGACCGTATGCCACAGTGGTCTAGAGATGACTGTGAAGGCAGGTGCCCTGGGTTCTGATCCATGTTCTGCCACATGCTGTGTGAACTTGGAAAATAATTTATATTTTTGTCTTTCTGCTTCACTTCTGGGCCTCAATTTCCTCATCTTCAAAGACAGGGATAACAGTACCCACCTTTTAAGACAATAGACATGGAGCACGTAGATAAGTGCCTTGAACAGAGTTAGCACTTGATAAATATATATATATATTTTTTCCCTGAGACGGAGTCTTGCTGTCGCCCAGGCTGAAGTACAGTGCTGTGATCTTGGCTCACTGCAACCTCCACCTCTCGAGTTCAAGCAAGTCTCCTGTCTCAGCCTCCCAAGTAGCTGGGATTACAGGCGCCTGCCACCACGCCCGGCTAATTTTTGTATTTTCAGTAGAGACAGGGTTTCACCATGTTGGCCAGGCTGGTCTTGAACTCCTGACCTTGTGATCCACCTGCCTCGGCCTCCCAAAGTGCTGGGATTACAGGTGTGAGCCACTGTGCCCGGCCAATAACTATTAACAATAATAATAGCAGCAGCAGCAATGGACTTTTCAGGCTGGAGCATTAAAAATATGCTGATATTTACAAGCCATACCTCACCTTCTATAATGCCTACATACACCAACCTCTGCTACTCTTTGCCATTCACCTATCCCTAGTTATCGTTGTTTTTTTACCAGTCTGCAACACAAGGACAATAGTGATCTTTCATCTACCATCATACAATACGTTTTGAGACCTTGTCCAAAATGAAATGATTATGAATAGTGACAAATAAAAGAGTTAATTAACTTAGAATCTCCTACCCTTATGCTACTCCCTAGTACCCACTGAACATAATTGATTGAATTATTCAGAACACGGTGCCCTTTCCACAGAAGCCCCGGTGAGCTGTACAGGCTGTACCACAAACAAGTCAGTGAACCTGTACTTGAAAAAGGGGGATAAACAAGAAACCTGTTTTAAGTCATCCCTGCATGCATTTACAAACTTTGGATAAAATAATGTAACCTACCATCAGGTATGAAATATAGTTAACACATGCTGGCAGAATTTGTCATCAGGAAGAAAATCTATTAATTACACACTCACATTTAATGACTTCATTATTTGCCTCTGAATTTTCAGTATGTTTTCCAGAAATATTCTACGATAGATTTTCAAAGCATAAACCCAACCAACACTGAAATAGGGGGCATACTGCACATAACCCTCTATAATTTCTGCTTTTATGGAAAAAAAAATTCCATTACTACCAAATAAACTCTGCTTTTAAATGCAGTAAAATTAAGTGGTGTCAGTCAGAACAGTAACCAAAGCCAAAGAAAACTTCCCTAAAGCAAGACATATGGAAAAAAAAAAAAAGAGAGAGGGTGTTTGATGCACAGCAAAGTTTAAGAGAAAGTATTCTTGGCTGGGCACAGTAGCTCAGGCCTGTAATCCCAGCACTTTGGGAGGCCGAGGCGGGTGGATCACCTGAGGTCAGGAGTTCGAGACCAGCCTGATTAATATGGTGAAACCCCGTCTCTACTAAAAATACAAAAATTAGTTGGGTATGGTGGTACATGCCTGTAATCCCAGCTACTTGGGAGGCTGAGGCAGGAGAATCGCTTGAACCTGGGAGGCGGAGGTTGTGGTGAGCCAAGATTGCACCATTACACTCCAGCCTGGGCAACAAGAGTGAAACTTGTTGTCTCAAAAACAACAACAAAAATAATAATTATTACATCCCAAGTGTCCCAAGATACAACTGGCCTGCCAGAAACACACTGTTGAATGCTGGTTAAGTATAACAGCCCTTAACTTCACATATGAACGTGAGTGAGTGGGTCAGGATTATATTTGTACAAACCTGGCAGCCCAAGCGAAGGGCATTCTGTATTGTCCAAGGCGGCTACACACTTGTTTAGCTGTCCTGTGCACCTTCTGTGCCGTCTAAGGTCAGAAACAAGAAGATAGGCTTGTATTTGTTCAAACTGCCATGGACCCACCCAGAATAATAATTTCCCCAACTTACCGTTATAAAACATCAAAAATCTCAGGGAGAAAAAAAAAAAAAAAAAAAAAAGCATAGAAATAGCCACAAGCAGAACACCATGCATCAGCCAGCCATTTTTCAAGTCCGAAGTATTTCATAAAGGCTTTGGATTTTCTCATTAACAGAGCTTCTGTCATTTCCAGCAGAAGACAGACAAAATAGATATAGGGCACACTTTGCACCAAAGACCTCTACTGGAAAAATGTTCACTGGTTTTAACATGTACTTTATTTCACATAGCAGGCAAATGCTCATCATTCTTGGGAGAAGTTTCTTATGGATACAGCTGCCCTTTCTACTCCCAAGATAAGGAGCAAGTCACCAGGAGTCAATGCAATTAGTCTAAGTGTGGGCAGGAGCTGCTGTTTGCACAGGCACGGAGAGATGACAAGGAGATAAACTGCCTATAGAGTCTAAACAGACCTCGAAATGCTGGCTGGATGCTTATCCCTAGGGATACAGAGTGCTGGAGGCTTTTATCTATATTGTTGAGACATTTTTCCTCCACAAATTAGTCCCATCACATCAGCAACTTCCACTTAATAAACAGTATTTGGGTACACAACGAAATGCCATGTACAACAGACTGATGTTTCATAAATACACAGTGGCTGGAGTGCTACTAATGAACTCAACCATGAACCTTTCCCTCCTGGGGTCTCAGTTTTCCCATTTATAAAAGGAGAGGATGAGATTAGAGCAGTGATTTCCAAACATTTGAATTTCACAATTTTCTAGAAATGTGGATGACAATATAGGGTTGCCAACTTTTAATATTGCCACTTAAGGACATTCAACAAAACAATTTTTTAAATCCCTGCCATTTAATATGCCAACATTTCATGAAAGGAAGATATGCATAACCTTTAAAAAGCAGGAAGGGCAAAGATCTCAGAATAAAGGGCAGCCCTCCGAATTAAACACATTTAGCTTCATGAAATGTTCACTGTCTTTCCTTTCCCGTTTCATCACAGGCAGGAGTAAATCTGGGTATGAACTGACATTTGGGAACTATAGGACTGGATCATCTTTAATCTCCCAGCTCTGACATTCATTCTAGGGCTTTATGTAGGGCTGTAAGGAAAAGAACGGTTACTGTCAAGGACATGGTGTCAATTAGCAGATGTTGCCTAAAAGCTTTTGGCTCTTATTTTGATAATCAAGCAGAAATCAGATTATCACATTAAAAGAACATCAATGACAATAGGAAAATATGCCATGTTCAAGTTTTAGCACACATACACAGTATACAATGTTTTCAGAATATATAGCATGCTCAAAGCAATGGCATTTAAAATATCAGTAAAAGGCAAATTTTACGTTAAGGTGAAATGTCGATCAACAATCTTTATAAATTACCTTTACTGGATCAGAATTTTTGATGTAGGGTTCTGCACAGTGTGTAATGTTTCCCTGCAGCACCTTTTCAATTCTTGCAACTAGAAAAATTTCAGGATGTGGATTCGTCACTGAGAAAATTCCCTGGGAAAAAAAGTACTTCCGTTAGACTTTCTTACGTAACCTTGTACATATGGTTGTTTATGGTTAATGATTTTTAGTAAAGAATGTTCATATTCAACAAAGGATCGTGTCCAGGACCCTAGAAATAGATAGAATCTCCTTTCACACAGTTTTCAAAGCTTCCAACGTTCTTTTCAAAATGGATTTTATATCTTGTCACCAACCTCACATCTGTTAGCCTCCGTAGTGCAGGTGTCACTGTTGCTGCTTTGCCTCTTTGGTTTGGTTGTGTATGCAAAGTGAGTTCTTCGACCTAATTTAATACAATGTACATTGTTTGGCTTAATTGATGTGTGTTAAAATAGTGTACATTTCTCAAGTGGAACTAGATATATGTTTTTAAATGCAGCTGCATGTAACTCAAGAGCAATTAATATTTAACTAATATTTATTTCCACTAAGAAGGAAACAGAAACTTTATTGCTCTAATATGGAAAAGCTAAATTATCCTCTAGAAGACACTCCTTTGTTGCAGTTCAAGAGCTCTTGTGCTTCCAATGCAAAGGTAGGAGACAGAGAATCCAAAACCCATTTTGTCCCCATACACTTTATTTAAACGTACTAATGCAGATGCAACCAAAGTTACATTTTTCTTTGAATGCATGTGGAACAGGAACACCTCCTGTCCAGCTTGACTCCTTCCAAACATAATATCCTCTACATAGCATGTTAGTTGGTTATGCCTGTTGTTTAAAGGGGCATCACTAATGAATTCAAGCGAAAAAATCTATCACTGAGTCTCTACTAAAATTTCGTTTTTTCCTTGGTATATTACCAACTTTGTTAATATAGTGATTTCCAGCTTCCAATGCATTTCAGACACATTATCTCCTTTGTACCAGACAGAACCCTCGAAGCTAGACAGGGCAGAATAGAAAATTGAGTGTAAAAGGCTAATAATTCCCCTCAAGTCAAACAGCTTAGAAGGGTCCCAAGTAATGGCTGACTCAGCTTTGAATTCCCAAGCAGCAAGCACGGAACAAAGTGGTTCAAATTTGCTTGAGAAAATGAACAAAGTGGTTCAAAATTGCTTGTCAAATTTCTTGGGTTCTGGCTCCAACATTTATGGGTTTAAGCAAGTCACATTCTAAGTCCCAGGTTTCTCATCTGTGAAATAGCATGATAGTAGTGACTTCATACATCTCTTGTATGGCTTAAATGAAGTAATGCACATCAGGTACCTTGTTATTACCCAGGTGGCCCACCAAAAGCATCCCAAGGTCACAGAACCTGGCTTCTAGTACTGCTGGGAACATGCTGTTTGAGCTGTGAGGCTGACCGCGCTGGCAGACTGCCCGAGCTTTCCCTGCAGAAGGTATGCTGAGCAGTACGCCTTGAGTGCGGTGTTACGCTCACTGCCACATAACCATGCTAGATGGTTTTCATGCTTTATCTCATTCAGTCTTCATAAAAACCTTGAAATGTAGGCACTACTATATACACATTCTATAGATTAAGAAATGGAGGCTCAGAAAGGTTTGTGCAGTGAGTAAGTGGGTGAAGAAGACTGCAGTCCTGGCTTCCAGATTATACAGCCCATGCTATATTCTCTCTCAGCCCTGAGGTCCATACACCCAACATCTCATATGATGAGGCCAGATTAGAACAGTAATACTGCTGGGTATGGTGGTTCATGCCTGTAATCTCAGCACTTTGAGAGGCTGAGGCAGGAGGACTGCTTGAGCCCAGGAGTTTGAGAACAGTAATACTGATTATTGCTATAGCTAACATTTACTGAGCACCTATTGTTTCCCATTCCCAGTACTCTAGGCATTTCCTACTGATGCCAGCAATGAGTACTATAATTTTAAAGTAGTTGATAATTGATAAAAGCTTGCTGTTTTCCCTTGCTTGAGATCACTGTTACTGCTACTACTCCTAGCTACTACGTTGCACTGACCAAACCCAGTGTGCCCATCACAGTGCTAAGTGTTTTCTTAGAACCATGCACCCTGTTTGTGCCTCCCCACAGCCCTTGGACACAGGTATGGTCACCACTTCCACTTGTAGATGAGGATGCTGAGGCACAGAGATGTCCATTTTCTAACTGACCAGGGATTCCAATGATGGGGGACACTCTTTGGGATTGTTTTACCTTTTGTCCCATCAGCTTCTGGTCCTCTCCCTGTCCCCAGAATGCAAAAGGTGGCCAGAGAGAGCCCAGAAATCCCACATGGGCTGGAGGTCTGGCCGTTTAGGACAAGGTCTATGGCCCAGTCCTTGTTTCCCACCAAGGAGCATGAATATGCCTCCCCACCCCAGGGCGATTCTTATCCACTTTGCTGGCCCCTCCAGCTAGAGAATGGGCCAGGTCCTCTACCCCAGCCACCAGCACTTACAAAGCTCCCAGGGTGTAGCAGGGCGTGTGCTATGTGTTCTATATTTCAGCACTTAATTACATTCATCTACTATTCTTGATCAAATTATTTCAAACAGACCTAAATTCAAATCCTACTGTCACCACTACTAGCTGTGTAATGGTGAGCAGCTTACTTAACCTCCCTGAGCTTCAGTTTCCCCATCTGTCAAACAGTAGTGATTATATCATTTCATAAACTATTATGATTACACGAGACACTGATGGAATAATGTTGGCACACAGGAGATCTTTTTCAAATGTTGATTTTCTTCCTGTCCCAAATTACAAACTGGATGACATCTGAAATCATAATTTAAACTTCCTGCATTGAACATACAGCTGAGTGGTACACACTGAAGTAATATGGGAAATACACATTGGCTTGAAATGACTTATTTGATATTGTGCAGGAAATTTTAAGCATAAAATTCAATAGCAGGTTCTCAAATATTTACAACACTTTACTTGCTCAATCCCTTTCAGAAGCATCCACCATCATTGTGGAATGTTCACAGAGGTGACAACTACAGTCTCAGTAACAAGCTAACGGGCTATCAGGGAATAAGGGACAACTTGAGGACAAGCCACCAGAAATCCACAGCCCCAAAAAGACAGTGACAGTCCATGTAAAGAAGTCTTCCCCAATGTTTGATCATCTATATAAATCAGCATAATCTTTGACCCTAAAAATCCCAATGCTTGGAATTTATTCTAAGAAGATAATTCAACAAGTGAGCTAAGATGTGTGCACAAGAGATTCAATGCAGCATTATTTCTGACAGCAAATAATTAGAAATGTCTTAAGTAGCTAAATCAATGAAATGTCATGTTAGCCTTTAATATAAACATGACTGATCTATAGATATTGATGTAGGATGATAAACATATTAAAAGAATACAGTAGGTATAAAACAGCATGAATATAATTTTATAAGCATATACATAATGTGTATGTATTTCTATATACACAACAGAGATGTCTGAAAAGATGTTTACCAAAATGTTAATAGGTATTGTCTTTTGGTGGCGAATTTTACTTTCTTTTTTACGCTTCTTATATTATTTGAATTTTCTACATAAGAATGTACTTATTATAATCAGGAAAAAAAAGAATGGTATTTTTATTTAGGAAAAAATCAATCTCCTTACAACATGAACAGTTTTGTTCATATGCCTCTTTCTCCTTTTAATTCTATGCCATGCTCTCATTTCCTTTTAGCTGCAAAAGTCTAGCGAGCAGATGATCAATCCACTCCGCTAACTTCTTATGGCCTCCAGTCTGGTCAGAGGTCAGAATTCCAAGGAACAGTTAAGCTCTTTCTGAAAGGGAATCTTTGCTCCAGATAAAACAGAAGAGTATAGCATTACAGCTATGACACAAGCAGTTCCCACTCATTGCTTTTCAAGTAAAACTCCTTGTATAAAGAGACCATACGCTCCATTCAAATGACCTACTCATATTCAGAATGGACATGAAAATTAGGGGTGGGAGAGTTAATTTAGGGTCAATTTTTCTTAAAAACCAAAACTTTCAAGCACTTATTGCCTTGCTCAGAAGTATACACATGAGTACGGGTGCAGGTGTGTTTATGTGTGTTTGTATCAGCTTTCTTTTTGAGACGGAGTCTTGCTCTGTCACCCAGGCTGGAGTGCAGTGTGGCGTGATCTCGGCTCACTGCAACCTCCACCTCCTGGGTTCAAGCGATTCTCCTGCCTCAGCCTCAAGAGTAGCTGTTATTACAGGCGCACACCACCACGCCCGGCTAATTTTTTTTGTACCTTCAGTAGAGATTGGGTTTCACCATGTTGGCCAGGCTGGTCTCAAACTCTTGACCTCAAGTGATCCGCCCACCTCAGCCTCCCATAGTGCCGGGATTACAAGTGTGAGCCACTGCGCCTGGCCTGTATCAGCTTTCTATCTCGCAAAATAATTCCCTTGTATCTCACATCATGGTCCCATTAAAAATGTTCCTTTGATAACATGTTACTAGCATGTTCACTGGTTTCCATTTTTGCCCTCAAACTTCAGTCACCAGAAAAATATCTATCGAAAGACCTTATGAGAGAGAATGTCATGAAAACATTGGTCTGAAACTACGAAATAATGCGAGAATATTTCTGTTTCTTATTCTGAACATGCTGCTAAGACTAAAGGTCATTCATTACCTGCTGTATGTAGCGTAACTGAGATTCGGCAATTCCGTGAATGTAAGATTCGGGTGAAGAGCCCTTTGGGCTACCGTCACTGGCCAGTTGGGTTGAAGAGCCCCACAGCATTTCACGGACAGATGGGGGATTCAGGTCTATATGAAAGTCTGCTGAAATCTTACAATTGTTCTTTACATCAAATAAGGCAAGATTGATAAAAAAGGGCTCAACCTGGGAATAAAAACAGTTATATTTTAAAACTGAGACTTTAGTAGGGGCATGGTGGGGAGGCGCACAAGTGCAAAATAAGTTTTTTATTCCTCCAGTTTCTGTGACTACAATTCCTTTCTGAGTTCAAAACTTAGCTAAAATTATATTATGGCTTATCTGCACAGAACAAAGAGTATTCCAAAACAACAGACTTCATCAAATTTTAACTTCTGTCAGGTGTAGATAATTTCACAAGTTATAAAGTTTACAAAAAGAAATAGAAATCAAAAGCTACATTTAAATAACACGAAATGTTCTATGAATAAAATTTAATTCTTTACACGTTTACTGAAACTACCTAAAAAATAATGCCAATATTACAGTATAGAAATAAATATTCTCTTCTGTTATGTTCCAACTTACTTGACTATACATTTCATAAGAGCTAATAACAATCAACATCAAATTACTTGACAAAAGCTTTGCCCTATCAGCAATTTTGGAAGACATGATTCCTCTCTACAGATGGCATTTGAAAGATGGTCACAAAGAGAAATTTCATGCCAGATGGCATAAAGATTAACCCTTTACACACAGAAAAGTCTGCTGTACTTTTAAGCTATTTTGTAAGAGAATCTATCATCACTATTTTATTTTTAATAGACAAAACTAGAACCAAAAAATAAAGATGAACATAAAAAACAGTCTCTTGGAAGGTTTTACACTTACAGTTTCAAGGATTTTTAAGCAACTCAAATGATCCATGAGAGCCATCACTTAGAATTTTCTCTGTAGACCAAAATGAATCTAATGCTATAGAATAGTGACCGAGCCTAGCAGACTGCACAGCATCTGTATCCCAGCATGGTTATGGTGATCCTTACTTATTGCTACGAGCCAATTTCATAGAAGAAAACATATTATCTAGTAGAATTTACGCATTTGAGGATTTTGCAAGTTTGGGAGACATGCTCCTCTTGAACATCAAGAGCCTACTCTATTTGCTCTTCTGAGTAGGTAAGATTTTCACGAATCCTCAAAATGAGAACATAGTCATATTTTGGCAAAAGAAAGAGATGTATAAAATTCTTGCATGTCAAATTTATCATAATATGTGGCACTGGCATTTTCACATAGTCAATTATTAATAGTTCTCAGTCATACAAAGATGTTTCTTCATTTTTTATTGTAATAAGATTTCTTTTTTATATATATAAAACTTTCATTTTAGGTTCAGGGGTACATGTGCAGGTTTGTTATATAGGTAAATTGCATGTCACGGAGGTTTGGTTTACAAATTATTTTGAGAAAGACATTTCTTTAATGCACTGATGCAAGGAGGGTAGAAGGCAAAGTCATACATACATTTGTGGGTGGTCCTTTTGCATTGTCTCCAATTTGGCCCAAGATATTGAAAGTTAAATCATGGCAATTTACCAGGAAACGTTTGTTGCACTTTTCTTCAAATGGCTTTATATCAGGTTCAATTCCTGAAAAGTCCAACCTCTATAAAAGAGATAGTATGAATCATTTTCAAAAAAAGATAGGATTCATATTAACATAGATTTACATCAATATACCAAAAATGGCAAAAATCCAACAGTTCTCTGTCCATTCTTCATTTGAACCCTTTTTATGTTTTCATGTAACAAGCCTTTGTCGACTTTTTACACTAAGGTTAAACAGTGATGGAGAAATCCTAGAGGGAGATGATGAAACTCGGATCTAAAGGCAATGGAAAAGTCACATGTCTGTACTACGGCCTACAAAGTCCTACATGGCATGATTCCCTGTCTCTTCACACCGCTCTGACCTCATCTCCTACCACGCTTGCCCTCTTCCCTCTTCAAGCCACACTGGCCTCCTTGGTTATTTTGCCAGCACACCAAAGACACTCCCACGCCAGGGCTTTTGCACTTGCTACTCTGTCAGGAACCCTCTTCCCTCAGATAGCTGCATGGCTTGCTCCCTCACTTCCAAGTCTCTGATCAATCGACTCTTCTGCAGGGAGACCTTTCCTAACTCCCTATAGAAAACTGCACACTCCCTGACCGTCTATACTCCCTTTCTCTATCTTTCTAATATTACTTTTCCTATGTGTTTATTCTCTGTGTTCCACACACAATATATGTTCCAGGACAGTCGAAATTTGGTTTCCTTTATGAGCTGTGCAGGAGGCAAAATTGACAAGAATGGGTATAAGAAGCATCAAAACTAACATGGTAGACCAAGGAGGGAAGATCGCTTGAGCCCAGGAGTTCGAGACCAGCCTAGGCAAGACAGTGAGACCCTTGCCTCTACAAAAAAATAAAAACTGGCCAGGCACGGTGGTGCAGGTCTGTAGTCCCGGTTATTCGGGAGGCTGAGGTGGGACAATGGCTTGAGCCCAGGAGTTCAAGACTACAGTGAGCTATGATGGTGCCACTGCACTCCGACCTGGGTGACAGAGTCAGACCCTGTCTCAGAAAAAAAAAAAAAAAAAAAAAGATTAACACAGGGATCTCTAATTTGGGAGATTCAATACATAGTGATGTTATGAACTTAGTCGTGAAATACAAATGAATGGCAGATTTGGGGGTACAGTGAGTAGAAATAGTGAGTTCAGTATGGAATGTGTTGTGTTCGAGGTGACGGTAGCAGGTAGTTGGAAAAATGGGAGAGGCCTGACTTAGAGATGTGGATGTGGGAGTCAGCAGCATTTAGGTTGAGAGGCACAAAAGGCTGGAACCCCATGGACTACCTATGTTTAATATGAACAGAGTAAGAGGCATCTGCTTAGGAAACTGAGCAACACTGAACTCAGCTAACAGAGCTGGGCAATGGACCTGGGCTGCCACAGCAATCAATTTTTAAAAATTATTGGTATTTTGAAATAAAAACAAGTTTAAGGAGAAGATATGGGGTTTGTAAAGGAATTCCTTTCAGCAGGGGAGGAATCTGTCTCTCAAAGAAAAAGACTGCTCAGGCAATCTAAGTTCATCTGTTCATGCTGAATGTCTTAACAGACTTCTATTCTATTCACAAAGGGGCAGGAAAGTGTGGATTGTGGGGTCAATTTCCTATACTTCCATTAAGGCCGTAGACATTGTAGGCAGAAAATGATTGGATGGATCTGAGCAGAATGACACTGTCAGTATGGAAAACTCAAGACAAGACACACAAAAATTTTTCTCAATTACCTAAGTAAATCAAGCCAAAACAGGTATTATGCCTGAAGAATACTGGATAATTATAGCTGTTCTAACCTACCCGGTATGACTGAAACCTCCTTAAAAGGACCCAATGCGTAAGATTTGTGCCTGAAAGCATGACATCTTCCCCTTTGAATCTATTTATCTACAAAAGGAATGTGAATGTGTGGGACTAGACAGCTCCCTCTTGAACATATATCTATCTGTGGAGGCAAGTCATTGCCATGGAAATCAAGTTTAATTTCCACCCATTTATCTGCTCTCCTTTCTGTCTTACTCAGACAGTAGAATGGAAAGAGAAACTGGACCAAACCACTCCAGCCTTCAAATCCTTTCCATTCTAAGGCCTGTGAGTACAAATGTTGGGACATATGGCCTTCTTCAGCTCAAAGTTTGAGCCATCCCCTTTAGTCAGCCAGTGTTTCTTTATTCTCTAAGGTCATGTCTCTAAACAATGAACTATGGCCAAAAGAAAAGGTGAAATTACGGGATGGCGCCTCACCTAGAAAAGGTACTTGATAGATAACAACATAGGTTTCTCTGAGGTGAGACTGCCTTCCGTAACCAACATTACATTCAATTTCTTCTCCTTAAAGCTTCATCACAACTGTGAATTTCTCCCTTACCATAGCTCACTGATAAACAACTCAGACATAAAACCAGTTCAGTTTTATTACCACAAAAATGCTACACCACAAATTTGTAAAGATACTGGACTTAGTTTCAACCACAGTCAATTGGCTCCTTTGTATACAATGAAACAGCCTGACATGTCCAACTAGAGCCCAATCATGGGTGGGAGGATCAAAGACTCAGACATGCTTGGAACAAGTAAATTTCTGAATGAATATCTTAGAACAAACATCCCTGAGGCCCATTATACTATTACTTTTTTACAAAAAAAAAAAAAAAATCACATAACTTGCACTAAAGCAATATTTAACTCCGTGGGGGGAAAAAGGGAAATGAAATTATTTTTTAAAATCTATTTTCTCCAAATAATTCCATTTTCTTGTATGATATTTTCATTAAGGAAAAATGTTTACATTACTTATAGCCTATATACTTTTTCCATTTTAAACTAAATTTTTAATTAGAAAATCATACGAAGCAAAAAAACAACAACGGCTGGTCCAAAGGTAGTAAGTTATCTCAATTGATTGTTCAGTCAATAACATATTGAACTTTTTGTTCTACTCTTTCTCCCCTTGTCACTACTATACTTGACTACATTTTAAAAAAAAGAAAAAGAGGCCAGGCACAGTGGCTCACGCCTGCAATCCCAGCACTTTGAGAGGCCGAGGCGGGCAGATCATCTGAGGTCGGGAGTTCAAAACCAGCCTGACCAACATGGAGAAACCCCATCTCTACTAAAAATACAAAATCAGCCGGGCATGGTGGCGCATGCCTGTAATCCCAGCTACTTGGGAGGCTGAGGCAGGAGAATCGCTTGGGGAGGCAGAGGTTGCAGTGAGCCAAGATTGTGCCACTGTACTCCAGCCTGGGCAACAAGAGCGAAACTCCGTCTCAAAAAAAAAAAAAAAGAAAAGAAAAGAAAAAGGAAAAACGACAACAACAAAATCAGACTTCCCCAAATTATTTCATATTTTCATGGAAGAAAAAACTGTAATGCACATTTTCCGATTTCAAACAAAATGAAAAATTTTCATTCGAAATCTCATGTAGGAAAAGGCAAAAGAAAGCCAAAAAATTTCATCTTCTTCAATTTCATTTTCTCAAAAAGTATTTTCCATTAGGAAAAATATTTGTAATACTTAAATACTGTAGACCTTTCCCACTTAAACAAATTAAAAACTTACTTAGAAAGTGCCATAGAATTAAATATTCACTGCGTGTATCTTAGTACAAAACACATCTAACTCTCATGAAAGAGGTTAAAATACACATCTGCATATAAACCTGCACCTTCCTGCACCACCCTCCATTTAAAGTATGATTAAGCCAGACATGAAAATTATCCTAGTTCTACAGGCCTACATCAAATGTGAAAAACAAATGTTTCATATGACTCATGTGTTCTTTATACTGGAGATATTTTCTGCCACTAGATCACAATTGTATTTCATGGGCTAAAAGAACACTGTAACCACCTTTAATAGCGCTTTAATTTATCTATTTTAAGGAGCAAGAGGAAGAGAAAAGAATACAAGAAACTGATAAATATGTGTGTGTGTGTGTGTGTGTGTGTGTGTGTGTGTGTGTATATAATTCAGCTCCAAATTATCTGCATATGTGACAGTCCCCTTGAGTGAAGAGTTAATTGTTAAGTTACCTGTTCAAAGTAAACAAGACAAATATAAAACAATCTGTATTCCCCACTGGTGCAAAAAACAGTGAGTTCAACATTTCAAAGATGTTGTTTATCTGAATAAGCAGTAATTCTAGAACTATTTAAAGAAACATTATCATTAATACCTGAACTTCTGAATCAAAAGAAAAGAGATTCTGTCTTCCATCTCCTCTACTGAGTTTGTTTAGTTGTTCAGTTTCTCTTCCATACTAAAAGTTTAAAAAATACGTATGTTACTTCATTTCCTTCAAAACAGTGTTAAACACTATTTAAATGTAGAGTTTATGTGAAACTATCAATCTGTCACAGCTTCAAAAATACACCATTCGTCCTGTAGTCAGTACAAAACAGGAATGCAAGAGACACTGGATGCAAAGGAGAAATAAACAAAAGAGAAATCACCATAGTTTTCATAGCCATGATGTTAGCTATAGAATATTATATGTAATTCTGATTCCATCACTTTGGGAAATACCTAACGAGCTGCACAATCCAGGATGACAAAGATTGAGAGGGAATGCAACTAAAATCTATAAAATCATTTTATAAAATCCTAGATAAGGCCAGGCACAGTGGTTCATGCCGGTAATCCCAGCACTTTGGGAGACCGAAGCGGGTGGATCACTTGAGGCCAGGAGTTCAAGACCAGCCTGGCCAACAAGGTGAAACCCTGTCTCTACTAAAAATACAAAGATTAGCTGGGCGTGGTGGCGGGCGCCTGTAATCCTAGCTACTCGGGAGGCTGAGGCAGGAGAATCACTTGAACCTGGGCAACAGAGGTTGCAGTGAGCTGATCGCACCACTGCACTCTAGCCTGGGCGACAGAGTAAGACTCTGTCTCAAAAAAAAAAAAAAAAAATCCTAGATTAGAGGATCATGAGTGTGTCCCTAAATTTTGAAAAATAGCTTTGAAGTTTATGAGGGGTAAATTTAAAACAGAAAAAAAAAAGTGCTTCCAAATTTGTATAACTAATTTGTCCAGGAAGATGAATAAAGTAAAAATATAAATAGGTTTGACAATTACTTAAATGAATAAATGGGACACAACCTACTAATCTACTATAATATAGAGTCTACAGAATATAATATCTTGGTGACATACTCAGAACAATCATCTCTACAACTTCAAAATTGGTTCATTTCAGACTTCAAACAGCAGCATAATCTTTGTCAGATTGTATCATTCATATACACATATATTTACATATAGAGAATATGATTTTCATGTGAGATTAACATATGTTGGTCATAGATTAAATATCATGTGCATGAGCTGCATCATTATCCTTCTGAAGAATATTTTATGAATGATATACAGTAATTAAATTGAATAAGAACTAGCAGATAAAATTAATGAAGTCACAAAAGCCTGGAAGTATTTCTTGGTGTCCGGAAAAAAATAAGATTTTTTCAAACTGTCAGTTGGTACTTACAAGTAAGTCTTCAGGAGTGCAACTTTTCTTTTACAATCTCTACCTGTTTCACCAATTTGCTGTGGTTTTTAACGTGGAAATGACATTGCCAAATGGAATCCAGCATTAAAACTTTAATAGCTAATCCTGCATTATCTCAGTTGAAGGCAAGTTGCCATATGAAAGATGTACCTTCATCAGTTCCGGATGCATGCTCCTTTCCAAACTTGCCATGATGTTCTCGGCTTTTCCTTGGCTGCTAGTTTCATCATCTGCAAATTCATTAAAAGCAGATGTTCTAAACCATACAGACCATTACTAATAACCTAAGAGGAGTATCCTAACTATCTCTCCCACCCATCCTCTCCTACTAGATTTATTGCAAAGAATTTCTATTATGAAAGCATAGGGAAAACTTTAATGGACTTTTGAAAACCTGCCATGAATTTTCTATCTGTTTTAGTCTGGTTATATTTCATGTGTCAGAGCCCATACAGCATCAACTATTTTTAAAAAGTCTATCAACCTCCACAGTCACTTATTAATGAAGAAGCAGGTCAACTTTTAAGATTAACAGTTCTCTATTCACCCTGCACAGAGGACATTTCCATGGAATAAAGACAAGGGCTTTACTTCAATAATAAATCACTTTAAAATTCTGACCTTGTGCTGTTTCTACCGTCTCCTTTTTCTCTTGAACTAAACTGTCGGTATTGATCTGAATAATCTTTTTCAAAGTTATCAACCATTCCTCCATTTCCTGCTCAGTTTCAGCAGCCAGATAATGGCTATACTTATCTAACATCTTGAGTTCAAAAGCATGACGGCGCATTTTGGGGCACTAGAAGGGGGAAAAAAAAGCATGTGTTCAGTTAGTTTAGTTGTCCTTTTACTATTAGATTTCATTAGTTTATATTTATTTTTATCTCAGCTTAGTATATATGTGCGTCAAGACTTTCATGAAATAACTGCTTCTTTCAGTAAGAAACAGACACTCTAAGACAACAAATGACTATGTTAAATATATTTTTTGTTCCCCTCAGGACTGAGCACAGTAGTATGACTATGCATAAAGTTGGCAGAAAACAATACTTGTTAAGTATTATCATTTAAGGCCTTTTGGCATCCTTCACATTTAGAAAATCAAAGTACCACCAAAAAAGTAAGCAAATATTTTACAATGTCCAGCCTGTTCAAACTTTTCCTTGAATAGTTAAGGATTTTCAAAGTCAGCACTTTAAAAAATTTAAATATGACCTGAAACAAATCTGATACTTAATTTATATCTCACCATAAAAGGCACTATAGATCCTAACCCATTTTACCACGCACAGTATCAACTGTATCACAGTAGTATAAAAGAAGACTACACAGTTTAGCAGCACAACAGCGCGACCATAGTTAACAATAATTTATTGTATATTTCAAAATAACTAGAAGAGTGGATTTGGAATGTTCCTAACACAATGAAATGACACACACTTGAGGTGATGGATAACCCAATTACTCTGATTCGATCATTTGCATATTGTATACTTGTATTGAACTATCACATGTACCCCCAAAATATGTAGAAATATTCCATATCCATAACAATGAAAAAGTAAAGATGGGGGCAGTGGCTCACACCTGTAGTCCTAGCACTTTGGGAGACTGAGGGAGGATTGCTTGAGCCCAGGAGTTTGAGACCAGCCTGAGCAAAGTGGTGAAACCTTATCTCTACAAAAAAGAAAAACTAGCCAGGCGTGATGGCACGTGGCTGTAGTCCCAGCTACTCGGGAGGCTGAGGTGGGAGGATCATCTAATCCTAGGAGTTCAAGGGTGCAGTGAGCCAAGATGACACTACTACACTCCAGCTGGGGCAATACAGTGAGATCCTGCCTCAAAAAAATAATTAAAAATTAAAAAGAGAAGGCCAAGCATGGTGGTTTATGCATGTAATCCCAGCACTTTGGAGGCTAAGGTGGATTCCTTGCAGCAAGGAGTTCAAGGCTGCAAGGCTGCAGTGAGATATGATCATGCCACTGCAACTCCAGACAAGGCAAGACTCTGTTTCAAAAAAAGAAAGAAAGAGAGAGGGAGAGACAGAGAGAAAGAAGAAGCAGCGGAAGGGGAAGTGAAAGGGGAAGAAGAAGAAGAAGAAGACGAGGAAGAGGAGGAGGAGGAGGAAGGGCTTGGTAAAAAAAAAAGAAAGAAAAAGTAAGACCATACAACCATAGTTGGTTCACATTAAATTGTGACTCTGCGTAAAATACATGGAAGTAACCTGTGCTGAATACCACCACACAAGGAAAATAAGTCTCTTCCTTTTCTCAAACACGCTGATACGTTCTTTTACTTTACCACCTTCTCTGTCACGACAAAAGAAATGACATACTACCCTTTTCAAATCCCACCGCATTAATTTCAAGAAATGCTCATGAATCAATAATTTTCCACTGCATGGTCATTATTCAAGAAAGTTCCTCCTTCTAATCTTCGGAGTCTAGGAAAGGATGAAATTAAACTGCTGTTTCAAGTCATAAAGATTTATACATTTGAAAATATTTGGGAGGCGGTATCATAAATAGATGAGGGGGGCTGAGCATGGTGGCTCACACCTGTAATCCCAGCACTTTGGGTGGCTGAGGTGAGCGGATCACTTGAAGTCAGGAGTTCGAGACCAGCCTGGCCAACATGGAGAAAGCCCATCTCTGACAGAGACAGGAGACAGCCACGGGTTCCCGGTGAAACCTTCAATCTGTGAGGTGGGAAACCTGCTAGCAGGACTCTCTCACTTTGGTGAGAGTTATTTTTCCTTTTCACCCAGTAAATTCCACTTCTCACCCTTCTATGTGTCCATAAGCCTAATCTTTCCTGGTTATGTGACAAGAACCGGTTTCAACTGAACTAAGGAGAAAGTTATACAACATCTCTACCAAAAATACAAAAATTAGCCAGGCATGGTGGCGAGTGCCTCTAATCCCACCTACTCTAGGCAGGAGAATCGCCTGAACCCAGGAGGTGGAGGTTACACCAAGCTGAGATTGAGCCACTGCACTCCAGCCTAGGCAACACAGTGATACTCTGTCTCGAAAAAAAAAAAAAAAAAAGAAAAAAATTTTCCAAATGATAATAAAAATAAATAGATGAGGGAAGCACTGCAAAGAAAGGTCAATCCAGAAATTGTGTGTGCCTTGTTCTTCCAGTAAGATATGAAAGGTCTTCTTTATATATATGAATTCATATATATGAATAGATAATATATAATCATACATATAAGCACATTTTATTCACATAGATCTTTGTACTTTTTAAAAAGTGTTTTCTCATTTATTAGAATTTTTTAACTTATCCTTTTAGAGATGAGATCTCACTGTGCTACCCAGGCTGGAGTGCGGCGGCTATTCCACAGGCATGATCATATCTCACTGCAGTGTCAAACTCCTGGGCCCAAGCAATCCTCCTGCCACAGGCTCCTGAGTAGCTGGCACTACAGGCACACAGCATCATGCCCTAAAGGTATTTTCTCATTTGATCCTCACAACAATCTTGTTTGATGGAGTATATAGATATTACTAATCCCACTTCACAGTTCTGAAGATGAAGATATAGGTAAACTGAGAGTGCTGAACTAACATCGCTTTCCTCCTAATCAGCCCATCCTTCTAGTCCACCACACCACCCTGGCTCTGTAATAATGACTTCTGTTTCACAGTCAATTGACTTCCCATTCAGATTCTCTCTCTGCCCTCTACTTCCCACCCTGTTTTTGTCTGTGTCCCCTCAGTAATTCATATCAACAAACATTCATTAAGTCCCTACTGTGCACAGAACCCTGGTAATTATTATAGAAGAAACAGAAATGAGTAAGAGATGGTCCCTGTAATCCCAAAAGGAATGTGTAGAATAAACCAAAATTAGAATGTGACTCAGTTGTATGACAGAAGGAAAAGCAAAATGGTTAGCACAGGAGAGGTGGAGCTTAATTCTACTTGGTAGTCATGAGGGTAAGGAAGGAAACACAAAACTTTTCATGGCAGAAGTAGTCTTTAAGCTGAGTCATAAAAGATAAGGTTCAAATAGGAATAGAAGGAGAAATTACATGTAGCAAGAAGAGGGAAAAAATGTAAGGCAAGCCATATATGTGTGAAACGCCTTAGAATGCTTAGCCTGGTGTGACCAGAGCACAGAATACACAAGGGAGTTCAGGAGGGATAAGGCTAGAAAGTACAGTGAGGCCAAATCACTATGGGCCTTCAATGTCATGGCAAAAGCTTTAGAGTTGACTCTGTAAGACAATAAATCAAGAGCCAAAAGATTTGGAGAAGGCAAATGATTGACCCAATCTATATCTTAGGAAGTTGAACTGGAGCAAGACAAGAAATCAGGAGGCATAAAAGCGCAACTTTAGGCCAGTGATGATAAAAGGGAGAACCGGAGAAAGGGCAATGAAAATAGGAGGTAAGAGGTTAAGAGGCACTTTAGAGCCAGACTCAAAGAAACCTGATAAACATTTAAATATTGGCACTGAGCAAGAACAGGGCACTGAAAAGGATTCTGAGCTTTCTAGTGTGGATGTTTCGGAGGATGGAGATGCCATCAATCAAGATAGAAAAATGCCGAGGTTCATTTTCTTTCTCTTTTTTTTTTTTTTTTTGTGAGGGTCTCACTCCATCACCCAGGCTGAAGTGTAGTGGCACCATCTTGGCTCACTGCAACCTCCACCTCCCGGGTTCAAGCGATTCTCCCAGCCTCCCATGTAGCTGGGATTACAGGCGCGTGCCACCACACCCGGCTAAGTTTTGTATTTTTAGTAGAGATGGGGTTTCGCCATGTTGCCTAGGCTGGTCTCGAACTCCTGACCTCAAGTGATCTGCCCGCCTCAGTCTCACAAAGTGCAGGGATTATACGCATGAGCCACTGCACCCAGTCACTTTTTCTTTTTTTCTCTTTTCTTTTTTGTAGACAGGGTCTTGCTCTGTCACCCAGGCTGGAGTGCAGTGATGCAATCACAGCTCACTGCAGCCTCAACTTCCTAGACTCAAGTGATCCTCCCACCTCAGCCTCCAGAGTAGCTGGGACCACAGGAATATGCCATCATGTCTGGGTAATTTTTTGTATTTTTTTGCAGAGACGGGGTCTCTTTGTTGCCCAGGCTGATGAACTCCTAGGTTCAAGTGATCCTCCTGCCTCAGCCTCTCAAAGTGCTGGGATTACAGGCATGAGCCACCATACCCAGCCATCTGGGGTTCTTAATATTGTTTATCAGTCACCCTCTTAGAAAAAGAGAAGGATTACCTCGATGGCCTTACCTGAACAACATCAATGCAGGCGTCCAAGTAGATGCAACCTTTCGATTCTTTTGAATTTTTCTCATCTTTATAGGAATTGAGAATATATGAACCATCAGGAAGTTGGGTCAAGTAAAAATATCGTCTCTTGAATACCTACGTGGGGAAAACCCAGCAATGATACATTTGTTACATATACATTGCATTTGAATAGTTTCTCTGAACTAAAAACCTCAAAGGTTTGCCAGGCATTGTGCCTGGACAATCTTCAGACAACCCTGACAAGATGTTAGGAATTATCATTATCTTCATTTTTTTAAGATAGTGAATGAAAGTCACAGGATTTACCCTCAGTTAATCAAATACCTAGAGAACAGTAATTAAGATTTAACACTTTGAAATGTATAAAGCATTTTGATATCTGAATCTCCTGACCCTTTCACTATAGCATTCTTTTCCCATTTAATTGCAAACCATGATTAGATCATTTTAATTTGGTTTCTAGGACCATGAATTCAAGAATAAATATAAAAAGCATACATATACACATATATATACATATATATTATATATACACCACATTACATGTTTCCATCTCACCTACACTTCCTACTGCACTCATCTACACTGTACCAATGTCCTTGCTTCTGAAAGTCCAGTTTACAGGGCACTCACAAGAAGCACAGACTCATTAGTTGCCTACCAGTTGCTGAGCGCCCCAAGTGCTGACATTTAAATCAACAGTCCTAATGGAACTATGCCGTTTGTTTGGAGTTAGGGATTCACAAGAGTTAAGGAGAAGCCTGTTGCTACAACTCACAGCAAAGCCCACAGGAACGGGAAAAGGTTGGGGACTGCCTGATGAGTTCATGCCGTCCCTCTATTCTCCCCTAAAAACAGACTTTGAGAGCCTGATAAAAGAGGTGAGAAAAGGGATTAGGAGCTCTCTGATGAATTGATGCTTCTTTCAGTAAGTCACAAACTGCAGGCTATGTCAAGCAATTGTCACAGTGAAAGGCAGAGCTTATTCAAGTTGCAATTTCCCAGGATGATAGATCTGAAATCACTTCAGGGTGGGATGGGGAGAGCAGCTAGGAAATAGACTCCTGGTGATTACTGAAGAAATGCATTCCTATGCATCTTGTCTTATTTGAAGAACCTGGCTTTAAAATTTAAGCTTGTCGGCCGGGCGCGGTGGCTCACGCCTGTAATCCCAGCACTTTGGGAGGCCGAGACGGGCAGATCACGAGGTCAGGAGATCGAGACCATCCTGGCTA